TTTTTCTTAATAATCGTGCCACATCTTCATGTCTCAATGTTAGTAGGACAGAGGTAGTAATAGTTATGAATACGGTGTGGCTAATATATCCCTGACTCCGGTTAAGGCAACTGGATTGTGGTTTTTCATTATGTGTAAGTCCCGTTGCGGTTTACATTCATTTACCGAAACCGTGTTGAATATCAACACATCACATGTATCATATAAGGCCGGATATATCTATTCTCGGTGATTTATACGTTTATCGTTTAGTGTTAAGTTCATAGTTTGGCACTCAACGTTAATTGCAAGCATAAAATAAGTATATCATACTTTTAGTATGAATTAATTTAGAGGGTTTTCAAAAATATTATTAAAATGAAACTTTGAGTAGTGAATACTCTTTTCGATACGGTACAACACTAATGAAACTAAGAGATTCTAGTAAAAATAATCTTCGATAATACATTTCAAATCATGTTAGTGATAAATTTCAAACAAGTCTCTCTTTGCTCCAATGTCCCGGATGGAAACTCCTTTCCATAGTGCACTTAAAGACCGGGAAGTTGATGGTCTTTTTCAATGACAATAGTACCCACCAAGACCAACTATACCATTTAATACTACTGCCTCTTCGTTTTCAAAAAAAAAAAAAAATACTACCGCCTCTTCGTCTTCGACATCCACAAGACCAACCCATCCTCTTCTCCTTAATGATCAGGTCTTCATAAAGTTCTTCCAATTTGACCATAATAATCCTCAAGAGGAAGTTATACAAGTAGATAATCTGGACAAACCATTGCACTGCCTCCTCGGTGAATCTCCCTAGAGAAAACTAAATAGAACCATATGAAGATCTCTTATGACATCCACCTCCTTGGTGAGTCTCCATAATGTATTGCTTATGTAGTTATGTTATCAGCCCGCATCCATATTCAGTCACCAATCTGGTAAGTCAACTCAATCCCTATCGCATGAGTCTGAAGTATGCGAACACGACGTTTCTGGCCTCTACTCTTCTTTCATCTGTTTGCCACCTCCATAGTACGCAAACACTCATCCCAAAATCGTACACAAATATAAAAAAACTCAGGAAAAACGCATATTTAGTCCCTGAAATAGTCACGAAAATGAAATTTCAGATCCGTATTCTCAAGTTTGTAAATGTTGTCCCTCAATTGTCCTGAATATTGTAAATGTAGTACTTTGAGGGTGAAATATACAATGTGGGCGAGATTACATTCCACTCTTTAAAAGACCACATTTACAACAGTTTGGACAATTTAGGGGTGACATTTACAATATCAGAAATACTCATTGTACGAGAGACGCACCAGTGCCACACACCATACCTACTTTTAGATCACCCGGCTATTAGAAATAGATGTTCGCAAGTGGATCACACTTTAAATGTGACGGGTCTTTAATAGGCGGGAACAATATGTGACATATGGGATCCATTTATCAAAATAAATAATGGGTTCAAGTTTGATTTTGGGTAAACAGAACTAAATATATATTCATATCTAGTAAAACATGATGATCTGGGTAAGATCCGGGTCCAACCCCGACCCGTTGATAGGCCTAACGATGCCTACAAATTCAATTCTCTCCTTCACTATTCGTCTCTTTTTCTCTTATTTGGTCCCTTTTCTTTCTTTTATTTTCCCCATTCAGTGGTGGAGGAAAAAAGGTTTGGGATCTATGGTCAAGTAGAGAGATCTTCCTAGATGAAAAGAAGAAAAATAATCAAGGTTTTGGCTCAAAAAGGAGGGTATGCCCGTCACATGTTGAGTTAGGTTGAAAGGACAATAGTCACTAAATATGAATTTCTCTTCTTCTTTTTCTTTTTCTTTTTCATAGATTCTCATATATATGAGCCTTAAAGGGTGTTTTCACTCCTGGATCATACCAGATTAGATCGAACTTAAACAAATCAAACCAGAATAGTTCAGACCAAATCAGACTAAACCAAAATTCGATAGTTGTAAAATACACATAGAACAGACATCTACTAGATCAGACTATACTTAAGTAGATTTAGGGGTGGTTCGGTATGGCATACCGAAAAATTTACGCCATACCGTATACCGTACCGAAATACCGGTATATCAAAATTGCATACCGTTACCGTACCGTAATTTCGGTATACCGAAATTTCGGTATACCAAAGTTTCGGTAACTCAAAAATGAATACCGATGCCGTACCGACTATTCGGTATACCGAAATCCAAGCACGGTATCGGTATACCGAAAGTCTAATGACATGTTACAATAGAATCGCATGTAAATTCTAAAATTATTAACAAAAACCTTGAATAAATACTAATACGAACTCATGTATAACTACTGATTAGCTAAATGCCAATTTATAAACACGAAATATGACATTCAGCTCTATTCAGGAATCAAGTTTATGAAATTAAAAAAGTCATGGATAAAAGCACATTAATTCCTACAAAAAATCAATTCAAATACATATTTAAAAGGGGTTCTAGCTTAAAATTCATTAAAGCAACACAGTGAAGCAGCCTGAAACTTGAAATCCATATGCTCAATGAACTGGTGGTTGTCACTTGATCATTCCTTGAGCTCTGAAAAGAGAAGGAAAATGGGTGGAAAAAGAATTTGTGGAGAATGAATAATGACTCTAGTTATGAGATGGAAAACAACTGCATGTATTTTATATATTGTTCAACATAACAGAGTCAAGCATTATGCAAGAATGATAATTTCATGTAACATAACTAAATAATGTAAAGCCACAGTAACAAACTTCATGGTGATAAATAATACTCTATTCATATTGTTTATTATTGTAGTATACTTTTGTTTATCACTTTAGTTTTTTAGTTTGATGTATCACAACCGTTTTTTTACATTCACATATATCCCTACATATAGCTTTTGAAATCTTTGGATATGTAGACTTTAATCTGTATTAGAGAGTCCTTATAATCTAAGTTTACAATATAAGAGAAATAAGACTTCTAATATCTTATTTATGGTTCTCTTAATTCTTTTGAATCAATTCAAAAAATATAATCATAATCTTATGTTGTAACTGTATAGGATTATGGCCTATGGGAATATAGTTACAGACTTGCAGCATGTTATAACAGAATTAATTTAAATCAACATAGGCATCACAATTGAAATGACCTGCATTCATATAGGAAATTGGAGTTTAGATATATGCCTTTGCAAGTTTTCCCTTCTGTGGAGTAAGAAAAGTCCTCTTTGCTCAATATATGATTGAGAAATAGGAAATACTTGAGTTGTTTCTGCCACCTGAAAATCAGAAGTTTGATTCAATATTTAGTTATATAAAAGAACACATAAAAAGCCCTAGAGAAAGGGTGAGAAAATGTTACTTAAACTTGTGCAAACAAAGTTAAACACTATCCAACAAACTCCTTTCAAAACACACAGGAAATGTCAGATGTTAAAATTCAAGAAGGTTACTATCCCCAAGCTAGCACTTAGCTTTTACAGTTTTTCATTCATGAGTTAACTTTTTCTTAAGACTTTGTCACTTCATTTGGTACAGCTAGCTTGGCACATGGAACAAAGTATCAAGTATTTTATTAACAATACCTTTTTTTCGTTTAAAGGAGTTCATATAAACAACACAGGACTTCAATGAATTAAAAAACTATTTAGAATGAGTGTAACTATAAAAACAGATAAGTCTGAAAAATAAAAACGGTACAAATTGGCAGAGTAAAGATATTCTTCACCATATGCCATTACAATTTCTTATTTCAGAACAATCCAACCTAGTATATATTAAAAGTTAAATCATACTTTCTATTGCTTATTGAAAGCAAGAAATAAACGATTGATAAGAGACCGGAATAAACGATGAAGTGTAACAACAATTGATTATTTTGTTCATTTATTACAAATCTGCCAATACCATAGAAAACTCGTGATTATTGAGAAAATCTGTGAAACAATTGAAAGAGAAGACAAGAATTCGTAATCTGGATAAACACGTTCAGAGAGAAGTAGGGGTTACCTTAATGTTGTTGGGGTATCCTTCTGCCATTTGCTAGTTTCATCACCTCTATCCTTTGAGCTTCTTGGAAAACCCTTGAGAGATGAGAACATGGATGACCTTATTCTTCATCGAAGGAGACTCAACCTCTTTGGAAAACAAAGCTGAGAAAGTAGGGTTAGCGAGTTGCTAGTCAGCCAAGACCCACGCTTTAGAATAAGAGCTTTCTCCTTATACGAAGGATGGGTTGGGCCGCCCAAAGCCCAAGAGACATGAACATTAAATAATTATTGAGTATAAATGTATAATCATATATATACGGTATTTCGGTATATACCGAAACACCAAAAATTTTCAAAGTGCTTACCGTTACCGTACCGCAACGTATCGGTATGATACCATACCGTACCGAATTCTTCGGTATACCGAAAATTTCGGTAAATTCGGTTTTTTTCGATACGGTAAATGCGGTATTTCGTCATTTCGGTTTTTTTCCCTAGCCCTAAGTAGATTAGATCAAATCAAAACAAAAAATTTCAATCCAATTAAAAATTAGAAAACAATACATCAAAATGAGAGGCTGCAAAAGTGCGAATTGGAAAATGACAATAGATCCAAAATTTTGAAAAACAAAAGCCCGCAAAGCTTAGCCTTGACCCCAACCAGTCTTTTATTATAACCACAGAACAACAAGTGAACAGGGGCGGACCCAAGAAATCCATCTTTGGGATTCAAAAAAAAATGGAGGTTGCGAAAATTAATTTTTGAGGGGACGCGAATTATTATTTTTATATATATACTCTAAAAAAAATTGTTGGGACGGTAGCCCCAAGCGAAATCAACAACACACCGATCCCTTTGTTAACGTTAGGCTTTTCAAGTTGCCGTTGGAGGCAAAGCATCGAAATCACCAAAACCAGGACACCCTATACCTACCCACCTCACTTCACCCCCACCCCATATTTCCACTGGGAGTATAAGAATTCATCTCCACCAATTGCAGGGTCTGAGAAGAAGAACCCAGCAGGCCCCAACAACATCATGGTGTGTTTCCTGTCATGTCTGGGTATCACAAACAAACACAAACGCCGCAAGTCCAGCAAGAAAATCCAACCAACATTCAACAAGGTAAGAACCCACAACTTCTTCCCCTTCCAATCAATCAATAAATGAGAAAGAAAGCTCTCTCTTTTCTCTCTGGTTTTCTACAGTTTCCCTTTTGCAATTTAGGTAGCTGGGAAGTACACACCTCTAGACTGTAGAATACCAGATGAACCACATTCACAAACCAGGTATGTGCAATACTAAGATTTGGGTCCTCACTTCTCAGTACATCACTGATCACTCTTTTCTTTCTTTCCCAATATTGCTGAACTTATACTGGTTTAAGTCATTCCACTAAATACAAGATCTTGATGAGTTTACTTTGGGAAGAAATCCTAAATCTGAATATGAAAGTTTTTTATTCTTGGTGTTATCTTCATCTTCTAAATGTTACTGTAGAAATCTAGTAAATAAAAATGTGAGCTTTATGCGGGTTAAGCAGGAATACAAGGAAAGACTCACAGGCTCTTAAGGTCAAGAAAAAAGTGAGCTTTAATTTGAATGTCCAGATCTATGAGCCTTTGCGCCAAGAGTCGATTAATTATGATTTTTCATCGGACGGCCTAGAGAAGCTGGATTCGGAGTACCCTTCAGATTATAGGTACTATAGTTGCAGGGATAGTTTTGATGATGATGTTGATGATGACATAAGGCTTGATGAAAGTGATCTTGAAGAAGAAGAAATTGATGAAGAAGAAGATGGTTTTGGAAATGAGAATGAATTGATATTAGGCCAAGGAGACAATGGCAGGACTAGAAGTAGTGAGTATTTGGATTGTGTGCTAAAACCAGTTGAAAACCTCACACAGTGGAAAGCAGTGAAGGGAATCAGTTTGAAAAAGAACCAGAAGGAGAATATTAGAGGAAGAGATGAAGAAGGTGAAAAGCCTTCAATTCCAAATCCAGTTTCAGATCCTTTGAAATGCAAACAACATCAAAACAAGAGGATACCCCTTCAGGTCGATGCTAGTCTCTCAAACTGGTTGATATCAGCAGAAAATAAGCCACTGTGTGCCTAGCTATTTCCTTTGTGGCTGTTCTTCTTCTTCTTTTTGCAATTTTTGTTACTCCATTTATTGATTCTTTTCTTTATTGTTGCTTGCAAGTGTGATATTGTAATATGCACCATTTTTTTATTTGTATTTGTTCTAATTAATTGCTGTTAACTACGGAGTATTACACTGTGATGTGCCACTTTATTAGTACCTACATTGTAATTGTAATATGCACCTTTAGAATGTCCCCTTTTGTTAAATTTAAGTTGCTTGGACCGTTAAATGTAAATGAAATTCCCAAAAATGTCCTTATCTGTTAAACTAAACTGAGTAGTATAAAATAAGAGTACATCAACTGAAAGTTTCCAGGCATACTCCAAAAGTATTCGAACAAAAATTAATGTTATTCCAAGCTTCCCCCGTTTTTCTTCTTTTCTGCTCTAATTTCAATTGTCATTCGTACATCAAAGGAAAATTCACTCAACTGTTTATTTGAAGTAGGGGTGGGCAAAAATACCGAACCGGCATGGTGTCAAACCAGACCGATATGGTACCGGACTGAAAACGGGACTTGAAAGGGATCTCAATTTATTTTGTCGCGAACCAGATCGTACCAGTTCTAAACAATGTCATGACCGGTTAAACTTTGTACTACTATAGTTTATATGAAATTTAATAATTATGTAATACGGAGTATGAAAATTGATAAATTGTGTGGATTTTTATAGGATGACTAAACTTTAACTTCCACTTAAACCCTTGGAAAAGTGACATTGTTTGGTATTAATATGATATGGTACTGTCCCGTTCAAAAATAGAACCGTACCAAACGGGTTTAGGTTTAAGATCGAACCGAACCGTTTCAATAGTCACGATACGGTATGAGTTCGGCAAAATACTAGACTGGACTGGACCGAACCCCCTAATTTGAAAAAAAAAATGTAGAAGAGAGGATTTAACAAATAATCCCTACAAAGGGTATTATAGTCAAAGAGAGAGCTCTTCTCATCAGGCCGGCCTGACGGGCTGCCCCGTCCGGCCGAGCTCGTTTGGGCACCTTCCCGGTGGAATTTTTTGATGAAATTTTTTGAGCATGTTCCTCATCAAGTCTAGTTTGTCCATATCAAATTTCAGCTCAAAATTCGATCGGGAAGGTCGTCAAATGATTTTTGCAAGTTAACTGGTCCGGAATATGTATTTTCCGGACCAGTTAACTTGCAAAAATCATTTGACGACCTTCCCGATCGAATTTTGAGCTGAAATTTGGTATGGACAAACTAGACTTGATGAGGAACATGCTCAAAAAATTTCATCAAAAAATTCCACCGGAAAGGTGCCCAAACGGGCTCGGCCGGACGGGGCAGCCCGTCAGGCCGGCCTGATGAGATGATTTCTCTAGTCAAAGAAATAGTCATTTGATGAAAATGTTCACAAAAGGGGAAAATTACAACATTAATCATAGCTGAAGGGGTAAATAATTGACTTTTAAAAATATAAGGTTGAAATGATAATCATAATTTTCCGGAATATTTTTATTTGTTCTGATTGTTGTTAACTACTCCGTATTACATTACTTGTTTGTTGTTTCTCATCTACCTTCTCACTTTTTTCCCTTGTTATCTTCCCATCGCCTATTTTTACTAGTCATTATTTTATGAAACAGTTAAAATATCATGATAAAAATATGATATCAAAAGGAGTCATATTGACTCATATAGTTAATTCATACAAAGATTTTGCTACTCAACCCACTATTTCTATTCACAGTCACTTAAATTAAAAACAATTTTTAATATCCAATTTACCCCTCAACGCTGGCCTCGAATTTTCCTTACCTTTGTATCACCATTTTAAACACTTCTCGAGGATGGCGATGCAACTTCCAGACACATCGGCAAGGAATCGAGGATCAACTTCTTGATTGTTTGGGAATTGAGGTTAGAGTAGTTTGTGCTTCATCCAAAATGTTGAATTTTTCACATACATGAAAGTCTTCGACTAATATCCATTGGAAAAAACGTGTTTGTGGAGGTGGAGGTGTTTGCCTTGTTCGATAGTGTGTTGACTATTGAACAACAAAGAATTTTATAAGCTCGGAATAAATGATAGCATTGACCCAGATCTTCTGTTTCTACCTCGCATCCATGGCATTCATGGCAACAGGGAGATCCTTCTTGTGGCAGTATGCAACATGCTTCTCAATCAATGCATCAGATAACATATTTGATCCATAATTTGCATCAACAGTACACGAATCGGGCATTTTTGCAAAAGAAACTGCATGCAAGCATTGAAAGAGAGAACATATATCTACTTCCGATGAGCCGCAGGTCGGATGCCCATGATGCAAGCCGGAGATGATCCCTAGTCAGGTTTGCAGTAGCCGCTCCCAATTTCGTGGGAGCCTTCCCCATGGCAACCGTCGACCGTCACCAATAGGTGGAGCTTTCCCCGATGATGAAAGACTGGGAAGTTCATATGCGTACAGAGGAGATAGAAGGGCAAAATAGATATCTAAAAAAAGAATTATTAAACTTTAATTTTTATGGCTGTCATTAGCAATTCCGCGTGTGCGAATAGAATCACCCAAATTTTAAACCCCTTAGAAGTGTTAGTTGTCTCCTTTTCATCGAAAAAGTAACTCACATTGTTTTTGTTGGATTTATGCCTCGAATATTCACCGGTTTGGACTAGAATTCTGTTTTGGGTCTATTCTATTTATTTGGGCCTCTTCTAATTTTCTGTATAAGGTCTAGAGAGTACTATATAAACTCTCTAAGCTTAACCCTAGCAATAAAAAAAATCATACTAACTCAGAATGTGTAATCTGAAACTCAAAAAACATTAATAAATCTATCCTCCCTTTTGTCCTGTGGATGTAGCTAACACACTGTCAGTGAACCACGTAAATCTGTGTGTTGTTTTCTTTATCGTTCTTTATTTTTCTTTCTCGTTTCTGTTATAACAGTTCTCTTAAATATTTTTGCAACATGCTTAATTAGTATGTAGTACAAAGTATTTGGTAAACTAAAAAAGGTACTACGTGCTATACAATGTTATGGATATCACAATATTATTATTATTAAACAACTTTGTTTGGTATAGAGTTTCATATAAAACCAAAGTACTAGGTGTCTAGTCTAGGTATGTAAATACCACAACAACCGAAGTATAAGAAGTTCTAGGTGGTTGGGAACTGGGTGCAGTTGGTGCACCGTGCAAAGGAACGTGTATAACGTACAACCGGTTCTATGGCGCAAGCCGTACAGCCGGCTATATGGTGCAAGTCATACAGTCGGTGGTAATTTTGCAATTTTGGTGAAAATTATCATTTCTCTTAAATGAGATTAATGCAATTCTAATGAGCATCAGACCTATTCTGTTGAGTTTAGGAGCCTAACAATGAGCGTCGTGGTCTCTGCTTTATATCTTCTAATTCTATTTCTTTTTCTTTTTTTTTCTTTTATGAAAAATTCTTAAATTATATTATAATGAACTCATAAGAATTTTAATATGCTAATCTATTGTAATACGGAGTATGATACTTTTTTAAATAAACATTAATATAACATTTTAAAATGAGCATAACATCAATATCAAATGAGCATACATAACTTATAAAATGAGCATTAATATGAAAATAATAAGCTTTGTTAGTTGAGCATTAAAACTTTTTTATTGAGCATTAAATTCTCTCTATTGAGTATTATAAACACGCAATTGAGTATCATGGTATCTGCTCGCGTGCCTATAATCAACACTCATGTGAATCAGTGATTCTAATGTAGTTTGATAATTTTGAAATATTTACTAATATGACATTTTAAAATGAACATAAAAAGTTGGGCCTCATTATAGATGTACACTAATATAACATACAAAGTACATTAATAGGATGATAAAAAGTTAGCTAATCTTCCATCATCGATAAAAAGGTCTCCCTAGACTCACTCAAATAAGAAACTATCATAGGCACTTGATATAAAGAAATTTTGTCTCAATATTTTTTTTTTCTATCATAGGCACTTGATATAAAGAAATTTTGTCTCAATATTTCTTTTGTCTACAAATTGTCTTCTACTTTTTTTTGTTTGAAACAAATTAATCTACTCCTATTTTAGGAAAACATGTGATTCTTATAATCTCACTCATTTCTATGGATCTATCGAAATCACACATACCTTTCCATTTTCAGCCACGCTTCTTAGTAACTTAGTAAGTGTGTCAGGTTAAAAGAGAACATAATCCGATAATAGTACAAATTTAATACTCATTGTAGCATAATGTAGGATTTTAGCGGGATAAAATTATTATCAATGTAAACAACCACAATAAACGGTCAAATGCATTTTGGTAATTGCTTAAGTAACATTTTGTTCAAAATCTCAAAACAGTTTTGGATCAACGGATAGTTACTACTCCGTTTCAGACAGTAGATCTTTCAAGGTTGTTTTAAAGAAAAAATTGCAAGGGAAATAAAAGAAAAATACTCCATATAAATAAAGAGAAGATTTATCTATTTTGATAGAAAAGTAAAGCACATATTAGAAACTTCAAAAAGGATCAACTAATTTCTCCAAAAAAAATTGAAATAATTGCATAAATATGACCAAAATAAAGCTGATTTACAAAAATAGGATTAGTTAATGGAGTAGTAATGAAATCATAGTAATTCATGTTCAAGTTTGAACTTTAGTTACCACAACACTACGTTGTAGTAATGAATAGTCATATTTATGTAAATAAGTTTTATTTTAGTAATATTCTTATAAAAACCCAAAAAAAATAGGTAACAAAGAAGCCTGAAGTAGTTTAGAACCATTATTAGAGCATCTTCAATGCTAAGATGTGCACGATGCACACGTGGCATGAAAGATAGCCATACAAATATTGACAAATAAATTATTTCTCTTCTTATTTGAATGATTTTATACGGGTTTGGTAAGTTTTTCTCGACAATGTCAAGAAGATCATCTAGATGTTGACATTCTTGTAGACATTGCAGAGAAAATCTTACTAAAATTGTATGAAATCATTTAAATAAGAAGAGATATAATTTGGAGAGAAATTATATGGTTATCTTTCATGTCATATGTGCATCGTGCGCATTGTAGCATTGAAGATGCTCTTAATAAGAAATCTAAGCTGGGTGCTGAGTTTGGAGAGAAATATCAAAGGCAACATAAATGGCAATTTTGTGTGAAGATGCCTTTCTATTTCCAGCCTTACATGGAATGATGGAATGTCGGAAGAGTTGATACCAAATGATTAAGACAGAGAGATTTGCTGCATCTGAAATATGCTTGAGTTCCATAAATGCTAAATAAATTAAATAAGATGTGATACAGTTTTTTTCTTTAATATTTGGCTTTATCTCAAAAACTACTAAGAAAAAAGAAACAAGAATCATTATGTAATAAATAATAATATCTAAATGTTTAGATTGCTTCACAGTATCTACATGCTAAAGATAAATTAAAAAAAATAAACATAATTATTGAGTTCTTTACTTCTTTGAACCAATGTTTTACTTTTCTCAACATTTTCTTCAAAATATCTTCTACTCCGTATAATTTTATTTATTTCCCTAACATTTTTTATCATTTGATCCTATCGACCAACACATGTCAGCTCTACCCAGAGTCAAGGGAAGGAAAAAATAATTAAACAACCCCATCCAACCAAACATTCCTTTCTGCCAGACTACAAAACATAAGAAAATCTTATTTGTTCAAAATGCAGTTTGTAAATTTGTTCATACATATATACGAAGAGTCGAAGAGAAAGAGAAGCTCCTAAATGCCTATCTGCTACTGCATTTCATCATACACATCTGTCACGGACAATGGTGTTTCATAGTAAACATTTTTTAGGAACATATATACACATATACACTATTGTTCAGTGCAGGGCCGTCTAGAGCAATTATGAGGCCCTAGACGGTCACATAGACATTTTTTTATATATTCAATTCAATGTAACGATATAAAAAAATAAAATACCAAATGAAATAAAAGTGAATTATATATGAAATGCATCATATAATATTAACGTAAACAGTATATTCTTCGAAAGCAAAAGATCCAAAATTGATCAAAAACACATGGATAAAAACTAATAGCCTATTCTTCTAGCTTTTTGAAGAGCGAAATTCGTAAGAACATCACTGCAATCAAGAGTAGCTAACATTTTTTTTTCAATCGATAGAATAGCCAAACCAGATAGTCTATCCTCAGACATGGTTGACCGGAGATAATTTTTTATCAGCTTCAATTTAGAAAAACTTCGCTCTGCAGCTGCAACAGTCACTGGAATAGTCAATAAAATTCTATAGGCAATCCAAGCATTCGGAAAACAAATATGCATATCTTTTATATACTCCAGCACTTCAATCACTTTTTTTGTGCATTCTGGCATTGAAACCCTTAGCATCTGTAGTTCTGAGAGTAACTCCCTAGCATCAATGTCCTCATCATCTCCATGCTTGAGAAACTCTTCAAGGTTGACACAAGAACACATCAAGTCCTCATCACTCATCCCCTTCAACTTAGTCAAATTGTACAAAAATCCAAAAGTATCATCATATTTATGAAACTGCTCAAATCTACTAGAGAGTGAAGAATGAGCAATATCAACAAGAACTAAGAAGTAAGTGACTTTAAATGCATTCTCTTGTGACCTTGTTGGTTCATCATTTGCATTTTCATCAAAGAACCTTTTTTTAGTACGGACCCGTGCCTCACGAAATTGAGGTTCAATATCTAACTCAATGGCAATCTTCTCAGCTTCAGCTTTGGCCTTTTCGAATCCATCTTCTCTATATTCTTGGAAAAATGCAATCAAACCTTTCAAGAGACTAATGGCCGAACTCATATTCATATCTCTTTGTTGCAAGACTTTACTAACTTTATTGACCTTATTCAATATCTCATACCATATGACCAAAGCAACAAGAAAATCAAAGTTCATTTCATAGTCAGATATAGACTTGGCATCACTAACCGTGCTAGGGTCATTGCTAAATTTGGTTAAGTGCTCCAATGCTTGTTTAATTTGTGGTGCTTGGAACCTGATTGCTTTAACACTGGCAACACGACTTTCCCAACGCGTATCTGACCATGACTTAAGAGTAAGACCGTTTCCATCACGGTCTTTAACATAAGTCTTGAAAACCTCCCATCGTTTTGTTGAACCTGAAATGATAAAAAAATTAATAATAAAAAATAAGTATGCAATAAATAAAAATTAATTAATGAATGAAAAAAGTATATAAACAACATAGACATACCCGAAAATAATTTATAGATTCGTTGAACAACACCAAAAAATGTCTTTGCTTGCGGGCAACTCATGGCCATATCACAAAGAGCAAGGTTGAGAGAATGACAACCGCATGGAGTATAAAATGCTCTAGGATATTCCCGTAAGACTCTACCTTGTACACCCTTGTTATCTCCCTTCATGTTGGAGCCATTGTCGTAACCTTGTCCTCTTACATTGTTAAAATCAAGCTCATGAGTCTCAAGGAGTCTTTTAAGTTCATGAAAAAGAGCTTCTCCAGTTGTCTCAACAACTTTCACAAATGTAATAAAAAACTCCTCCACTCGGATTGGACTCGTAGACACATTAACACATCTTAGGACGAGTGTCATTTGCTCCTCGTGACTAACATCAGGTGTGCAATCTAGGATAACAGAGAAATACTTTGCACTTTTCACTACTTGGAGGATCTTCTTTTTCACTTCATTTGACAAAAGTTGGATCATCTCATTTTGAATGTTATGCCCAAGATAATGATTTCGGATCTCCTTCTTCCGAATACGCCTGAGATGTTCTTCCATTATCGGATCAAATTCAGCAATCATATTAATAATTTTCAAGAAATTCCCATTATTTTCATCTACAATCCTTTCATTATCTCCACGAAAAGCTATATTACAAGTAGCAAGAGTCTTGACAACAACAACAATTCTCTTCAAAACAGCTCTCCAGTACTCTTTTTCTTTGTTGATAGCTTGTTCTCGGGAAGCATCTATTGTCACCCTTTTTTTCAATCTTACTTCTGCCTCCCTCCATGCTTGTAAATTATGGATATGGTCCATGCTCAATTCATGCTCTACAAGTCTAGTATTTAAGTTGTGCCAATCATTATACCCTTGACCTGCAGTGGTTAAAGGGCTTTGCATCGCACCTTTCTTGAATAGCACACAACAAAAACAAAAGACTTTATTTTTTGACAAAGAATAAACTAACCATGGCCTATCATATCTCTCCATGTTTCCCAAACAACGAGTATAGTATTTGTCATTGAAACTGCGTTTCTTATCAATAGGATACTCAACCCCTTTTATTCTTATGGGACCCCTCTCGACCAACAAGTCTATTTGTTTTTGAGAAATAGGTGCTTTCCAATTTCCTGGGTCAAATAAATCATCCGAGTACAACAAAGTAGAGTGATCATCTAGCATCTCTCTCTCACCATTTACATTCTCGGCCCTAGCATGTTCATTCTCAATACTATCATTGACATTTTCATTTGTATCACCTACAATTGTGTCATTATTCTGACAACTTAGATCCTCACCCTCATTTACTTCGACCTCAACATTTGTAGCCTCATTCTGAACAATATTTGAGGGACAAGGTTTTGATAATATGTACCGATCCATAGAACCGGCAAAGGATTTTATGACCATGTCCTTTCTTAATTTGTTCTTTCTCTTTGTACATCCTGAGTCGTATTTTCGTTTTCCCTTCATCAAAAACCTACAATTTCATACAATTCCTAACTAGATAAGTTTCTCTAACTTTCAATATTCAATAATAAAAATACAATTATAAAAACAATACAATAAATTACTATCCAACCAAATTACCAATATGTAATAACTAGGCCCTACTGCCCCTGCATTACCCTGCATATATGCTACAGTAGTACATTAATATTTTAATAACCTATTGCCCAACTGCCCCAACCGACCCAATACTAAAAATTAAAAAAATCATGACAATCAAATTAAGAGATAAGTCAACTACATCAAATCATCAATAATTGAAGGATTTGGTCAATGGTCATTTGAAGCTTTTAGAAAGACAATCACGAAGAGCATAAGCTACAACTCTACAAGCATTACGTACCTTACCCGGAGGCCTTGTGCGGAGTTGCAGACTGCGGATGTCTGTGGCTGTGGCCAGCGGGCAGCGGCCACTGCGGTCTGCCGTCTGCGTCGGAAGAATTGCAAGAGTCGGCAGAGGAAATTGAAGGCTCCAAGTCTCGTCTCCAAATAGGGGAATGTATCGTGAAGTCTTTGGGCCGGAAGGCCGCTCCGCAGGTTTTAAAGTTTTTTGTGTTTTACTTTTTAAGTTTAGTAGATATTTTATCATAAATTAACAATTAAAATTAAATATATACATAATAATAATAGACTTACATAGAAAACTGGAGGCCCCTATTAATTTGGGGGCCCTAGACAATTGTCTAGGCTGCATGCCCCCATGGCCGGCTCTGTTGTTCAGTAATACGGTATTACATTATTACATAAGTCCTATGATATCTATTTTCCCCATAAAGTAAAGAAAGATGCCTAGGATTTGGCCTGAAGTGCTATGCGAACCAAATTAGGGTAAACAGGGTGTTTTCCCACGAGAAGCATTACTATCACTTGTGGTTTGATACTTCGATTAGAGAAACAAAACATGTAGATGTTTGTGTGAGACTTAAAGTTGTGTGGTGTCACATAAAGTGATAAGAAGGAACTACATTATTGTACACATACAATAGTCTGAGTCGTCTTCCTCTGAGTCGCTTGCATCGCTGTATCCAAAGAACAAAAGTGTACCATTAGATCACAAGGATTCAGATAAGACAATCAATTAGGCAAGACCAGACGAATAGAATATGGGATTGTGTTGGGGTCACCTTATGGGGTCTGAGGTCAAACCACACTAAAATATTGAATGGAATCAGCTAACTAGTTCAACTCAAGGTTTTATTAATTCATCATTCTCTTTTTCATTTTCCTGTGTTGGATCTCAATGATTTCAAACAAAAGAATGGAAAATCAAATTAGAAAGATTTAGACCAGGACACACTTGAAAGGTTTAGTCCAGGCCAGCCATATATAAAAAAATTGATCACATTATACAGTTCAAGTGAAAAGCAAAAGTCCTTCATTTATAGGGATGCTCATAGACACCAATTAAAATAACCAACTGTTGAGATAACCCCGCATTAGCTCATGAAAGATAAAACCATGCTGAACAATCATTACCTCTCTCGTGAGTTCTTCCCAGTTCGAATTAGACTTAACCTTATTCTTAATGCGAAGGTTCATAATTCAAACTCCGTAAATAAGAAAACATAGTGAATTTCTAAAACATAACTTGAACTTAATAATGTGTTACTCCGCAATATACTACATCACCTATAGAACCAAGATCAAAGTTTACCAGCCATATACAATCAAAACCTTGCAGGTTCAATTTGTACTAATATCTTCCACTAATCTGCACCACATTATCTACCCTTGGCTATCACAAACATAATAGCCCTGGATAAAACCACGTTCTTATTTTAATGTGTCATTTTTTTCTTGACAAATATTAAGTTTTGCACTTTTTCCAAAGGTGTCAATCTCAATCCAAACGACTAAACATTCATACAAATATTTTGATTTCATAAAACCAGATTCAATAGTCCATAAAAGCCCTAGAATGCACCATCTTCACATGTAATAGCATCTTATCCTATCCACTCAAATAGAATTCATGACTTGATTAGGATCAATCAACTATGTTGTAAGTCATTTGGTTAAATCTAATCTATTAGTTAGTTCCACTCAAGATCTACTTAGCTCAAGTGCTCAACATTATATTTCTGTTTTCCGGCATGGGGGTCAAAACTATTGCAAAAAAAAAGTATGAACTACATCATACATTTTCTCTCAAATTCCATCTAAAGATATCATCAAGAAAAAAATATAAAATGATGAATACGAACTTCAAGTTCATGATAGTGAATTAGTAAAAATAAAGTACCTTGGTTGGAATTCCACGATCTGAACAAGATTTTTTCCATGTCTATCATTCCAGTGGACTTTGAGCTTAGGGTTTCCAGGCTTTTTAGATAATCCTCCTCTCTTATGAGGCAATAAGGATTGAGATTCGCCTTCTTCGTCTTCTTTCTCCCCATTCAATGCATCTTTTTCTGATTCCACAAACTTACTCTCCTCTGTCATCAATTCATTATCCATTGGCAAATCCAGTCACAACCCTTTCAGCTCAACCTACAACCCCAGTTCTTTTTTTCAACACAAAATCAACACACCCATTTCAGGAAACCCAAAACCTCTGAGAAACAATCATAAACCTTTGCAAGTGAGTTTCAGTCTTCCAATTCTAACACAAACCCAGGAATCCCTAAGGAATCAAATCCTGAAAATGCTCAGAAAGTATGAAGAGTGGCATCCTTTGAAAGAAAAAGCGACTCAGAAAACCAAGCGTTACTAGCACCAAATAAGCTACTAAAATCAAACAAAACAAAATTAAAGATCCTAAACTTCTTATGATTTATATTTCTGAGAAAGATTCCATAAAAAAAAATCTGAGAATGATAGATCTATCCAGGATCTTATAATCGAGCCCGAGAAGGGAATCACGGAGCTATGGACTCAACAGACAGGGGGGAGTGCGTTTGATCTGCAAGTGGATGGAAGGGATGCATGCCGATACTTCACGATTAATTTATTATTACTCCGTATAATTTATAATTTAATAATGAACAGCATTAGTGAATAGTGATTAGACTATTAATTATACATCTTCCCTCTCAAAACCGAATTGTCAACAGTATTAATTTATCTATGCTCATAGTTTTTGTCACTCCTAGCCTTACAGGAACTTGTGGGTCATTTATTAATGCTAATCGACAGTACCTAGCAGAATTGATGTAACGATTACATTAAGTATAAAGTTAAGTGCGATATTAAACTCACTTTATAGTTTATACTTGATTTTCATCGATATGATTGATATTTGCATCATCAGTTCAAAAATTAGTGGATGAGTATAGCCGTGTAGGGCAAAGTCAAATAATTTTATATCGAAATAAGTGCATAGATTAACGATTTTGAAAATATGCAAAGTAAATATCACTTAAAAATGGGGTGCAAAATCAAATTAGTTCTTATATATATATTAGGGGATTATTAGGGCTGGACTCGGGCCGGTTCGGGCCCGGTTTGGGCCTGGGCCCGGCCGGGCCTCGGGCCAGGAAAGGGGAGGCCCGAGCCCGAACCGCCGGTGGCCGGTTCCGGTTCCGGGCCGAACCGGCCCAATTAATTTTTTTTTGTTCTCCTATTTAATCCCCTACCCCTCCCCCTCAACCCCAAACCATCCCAAACCACCTCAAATGGCCCAAAATACCTAATCCAACCTAAAACTTAAAAAAAATTCAAAAAAAAAAATTAAAATTAAAATCCGGCCCGGACCGGGCCCGAACCGGCCGGGCCGGTTCACCAAAACCCGGGCCCGAGCCCGGAACGCCCAGCACCCGGGCCGGGCCAAACCGAACCAGTGGACCCACCGGGCCACGGGCCGGGCCGGGCCAAATAGTGACCGGGCCGGTTCGGTCCCGGGTCGGGCCGCCCGGCCCGAGTCCAGCCCTAATATATATATAACCCGGCCTGGGCCCGGTGGAATCGCGGACCGGTTCCGAGCCTTTCGCCACAAACAAAAAGCCTAGTTTGGACCAGTCCAACCCGGAACCGGTCCATGCCTAATCGCTAGTGGTGGACTCGGGTCGGGCCACCGGCCCGTGAACCGGCCCGGCTCGCTACTGTGTGGGCCCGAGACCGGCCCGGTTCACCAGTCCGGGTACTGGACTTTGACCCGGCCTGAGGGGGAGACGGTTCCGGGCACGATGCTGCCAAAATGTGACCCGACTGGGCCTGGTTCGAGCCAAAATCAATATATTTTTGTTTTTTCATTTTTTTTATTCCAACGGGTTGGGCTGGGTGGTTGGGGGTCGGGGGGTGACAGGGGGGAGGGGGTTAATTAGAAAAAGCAAAAAAATATAAAGAGGCCCGGCCCGGCCCAGTAGCTATCCGGGCCGGTCCCAAGCCCAACTATTCAGAACAGGCAGCCCGCCCGGACCCGACCCGGACCCGGCCCGAATCCACCCCTGCTAATCACACCTGAAATCCAACACTACTGTTCATTTGTCACAAACATACGACGCAGCATTTTTAGTAATCTAGATCAGGGTAGATCTTTAAATTGTTCTGTTTGAGCATTAAAGCTTGGTAACCTTCTACGAAAGACAGCATTAGCACCTTCTGTGAAAGTTTGCCACCCTATTCTCCAACTCATTAAGTTAAAAGTTAAAACCTTAAATGCATTTTTAGCATCAAAATAAACCTATCATAGCTCTCTGTAATGATGGAAGATAGATATATAGAAGCTGCTATATGCATGGACAAAAAGGTAATGGCTATTTTGCATTGTGAAAGCAGTACAGCATGGTTGGAGTTAGCATAACACTGAAACCCACAAACCAGGGTCTCAAATGACGCAATCATAAATGAAAGAAAGAACAATGTCACATAGACAAATTGTAAGTCAAAACTTTTGAGAAATGGCTACAAAGTGAAAGCTACAAGTGCACGTGCTCTTCCATGTTCACACGCTGTAACGGCTTTTGGCTGATCTACTTTTGGAATCATCCTGCAGTGGTGATAAGAGAAAGATTAAGAAAACAAGGTTCACTAGCAAAATAAAACGAGAATAAAGCTCTTCTATATGTAGTAAATGAATTTTACATGGAAACTATAAGATATCTTCTCAGTTACATCGAGCAACTCTTTCCATTTCTTACCAATGGCCATCTGCAGGCAAATAGCATTAGTCAGCTCTCTTCAGAAAATGTCAACATCAAGGTATCACAGTTCAAAACACACAGAAAATATACTTTTAAGAATACTGGGGAAAGGTAACTGATTAAATAATTGATCAAATCTGAACTTCAATTCAAGATCTGACATTATGGCATATTGTATATTACCTCTCCACATGATATGACAATGCATTCAGCTTTTAAAAGAAGATATGACAAGCATGCAAATAACCACTGAGAATGTGCGGATACTAACAACGGAAATTCACATAACACAAGCAAAAAAGAATACAAAATTGATTTATTAGTTTAAATGTCAATATTCAAGAATTCAAGAATGTGGCTAAATTGTCTATTAATCGGTAGTCATACGACATGAAATGATTGTGTTTGTCATTCTTTAGCTAGCTTATCCTATTTAAACAAGCTCGCATTGCTAGATTTTTCTCTCGTCCCATAGAAAGAACTAGGAAACCAATTTTACAAGTCATCATATTCCTACAAAAGTCCAATTTTATAAAATGCAAATAGTTTTTCATGTCATTACTTTACTTTAAATTTTATTGTACCGTGACAAAACGTAAGTCATATCGGTGCCCAAATAGTACTTTTTTAGGACAAATGCAGCATACATACATAAGCATCTGACACGCAAATATGCAATGTTCACATCTATATGACCTTTCATATGCTTCTCCAGACTCCCCATTAAATCGTACTCCGTAATACATATAAGATGCCAAATAACATGTCTAAATGATCTCTCATGCACTCTGCACATTATTTTGGTGAATGACCTTTCATATGTAGATCTTGATACATATCAGATGCCAAAAGAAAACAGTATTTAAATGATCCCAAGTGCACTCTAGACTCTGGACTTCCTTTAGGCGCGTACCCTTTTATATGCTTCTCAAGATTCCCCATTACTTTTCCACAACAAATGCAATATACCAAATAAAAACACTGCATGTTATTTTCATAAACCAGTTTGGTCATCATAACATAGAAGCATCATTCTATAACTCTACATCATAAACCACATTAACAATTTTCATGCAATGAGGGCAGTATCTTTCAATAACATCTTAGAATGATTATCTGTCATATTATGTACCTGGGCTGCTTCATTGGCTGCATTTTTTGTCCACAAAGAAAGTCTGTCCTGCCGCTGACGCACACTGGCAACCACACCACATATCTCCTCTGTTTCATCAAACCTCTCACCAATCAATGCCAACAACTATACAACAACAACAAAAAATTGTAAGAGAATGATGTCCATAATATTAAAATTTGAGGAGGAGAGCTCCATCCAGTATATATTACAGTTTCAAGCCACATGGTATCCAGGTTTGGCTTTCTGCTGATGATGACCGTCCACTTGCCTCCGTTTGCACACTCGGGATCTTCCCATTTGGGCTCAATACCAGCCTTGAACAAGTGAAAGTCTGCATTGAGAGGTACTTCGCCAGGTTTTATTATCTGATCATACAAGCTGCATGAGAAAATTATTGATTCAATCAAAACCTATGCATTCAGCACAATTCCCAATGACCTTTCTTAAACAGATGTACTTTACTTCGTCTTCCCCTGAAGTAGCCAAACTTAGATGAATCTAACATTTCGATGTTCAAAGAGGTCAGAGAAAATATAACGGGTCTGAACGTTCTCTAGAAAGGTTCAATTGACCAGTATAAGAGAAAATCATATAAAACCAAATAGATTTGAGCTATTAAACCGAACAGATTCACTTGAAAACGATCTATATAGTCATATAACTAAGAACATTGAGAATTGAGGAGTTATACCACCAGAATTCTTCGACAGTGTCGAAAGTATAGATTTTGCGCATAGAGCTGCCCCAGGCAGCACCTGGCTTAGGCTTCGACTGGTTGTCAAACCACAGTGTCCATTTCCGCTCCAACTTGTGCGGCTGATTGGACGGTGTCTCTACGGCGGCTGCCACCGGAGCCTCTGCTGATTCAGCTGCCGTATCAGTTTCCATTGCGTAATAATAGATCTCTGATTTCCAAAGCGTATAAAGTTGTTCTTGAATCGAGTCTGGGAACAAGCTCCTGAAAGGTTTAATTTAGGCGAGTTCGAAAGGAATGGACTTGGTTTGATGCACTAATAAACATAAATATGGCCCAATTATGTATTGGGCCCAGTGTCAATTGAGACCAAATATCTTTCCCAAATAAACTTAAAAATAAAAGGGAAAAATAATCAAATATCTCAAACTTTGAAGGGTGTGAGATAAATAACATTAACTTGCATATTGAATTTAAATATTCCTAATTTTAAATAGAAAGTTATGTTAGCATCATGATTATATGTTTTTCTTTCAATAAATTTACCTTTTAAAAAGAATTATTATATGACCATAGTGTTCTAATATCTTTTTATGTAAAGTTTGAGGTATTTAAATTGCATAAGCAAGTTTATGGCTTTAACCTTACACCCCTTCAAAGTTTGAGTTATTTGAATTAGTTTTTCCAAAATAACAATAATACTATCTCTATCTCAGTTCCTGAAGACAAACGAAGTGATAAGTTTATTGAAAAATATAATATTACCTTTGTTCCATTTTATTTATTTTGTATTTTGTTTTGGCGTGACACATTATTAATAAAGTGGTTGAAAAGATAAAAAGATATTTTGGGACAATAAAAATGAAAAGTGACGAATGTATGAGTGAATAAAAAGTTAATAATAATAAAGTAAAGATGAATCATGACCACTCAATATTATCGATATGAGAGACAAAAGTAATGAAACTCATAAAAAAGGATAATGTGATATAAAAATAGAGGAAGAGATTGTCACATTTTTTCACTTTTGAAACTGGAAGTTAAGCGGTTAGGAGTCACCAATTTTTTTTGAGAGTATTCCAACAAACCGAACTGGATTTCATATTTCATATACTATCCCCGTCTCTTTTTAATCGCAATATGTTGAATTTTATACTATTCACATATTTTACTTTGACTGCATTTTATAATATTATTTTATGAAAATTATTTTTTTTAAAAAAAAAATTGTTTAATTCATCTCATTACGAATTTTCAAAATCTAATTTTTAAATATTTTTTATTAATAGAGATTAAATATAGTTACGGTCAGAGACGTGCATTGGCAAGTGTGAAATGTTTACCGTTGCATCTAAAAAAGAATGGAGGAAGTATTTCATATCAAAGTGAAAACCGATAAAAACCAAACTCGATTTGATATGCCAAATTCACGGGGTAAACAATTTACACAAAAGTTATACAGACACATATTTGTACGTAACGAAAAATGAATTTTTTCAAGAATTTTACCTAGTCAATGTCCGCATGCAACCCCAAGTTTTGTGGTACTTGGGTGAGAATAAGAAACTGTAAAAAAAATGGCCCGTTGGGTCCATGGCAACACGTGGCAGAAAATGGAGCATCCTTGTGTAGTGAAGAACAGAAGCGGTTCTAGAAATGAGGCGATGTGCATGCTTGCCACGAATTCGATCATTTCCTACTAATATCTTTTTGTACGTAATAATAAACCACCGATCTATATGTGATATGATATGCCCCCTTCTTCTCTTCACTACATACCATTACTCAGCGTTGCTCGGAGCTAGAGACTGATCTGGACGCAGAATTAAGAAGATATGGCGACTGTAGACCGCAACACCGCCCTCGCCACGGAGGCGCCGCTGGCTCCGGTCACCGTGCAGCGGAAGGTCCGCACCGACCTTGAAGATTCCATTCCTAAGCCTTGTAAGTTCTTCTTCCGGTGCGGCTTTCAAGTTTTTCTTTGATTACCATGACATATCATTATAAATTAATTGACAAGTAGTTAATGATTTTATATATTCATATATCTCTTTAAATTTAAATTCAATTTAAATACCTTATTATAAATTGGTTACTACTTCCTCTCTTATATATACAATACTCCTTTGTCCCCTAACTTTGTCTTTACCTTTGTCTCGTTTTACCAATTCAATATCAATTCAATATATTTCCTCTCTTATTCACACTTTATCAATTCAATATCAAACACACAATTCCACACATAGTGACACACCATTTGTCCTAAACATAGTCCCAAACATAGTGTGTCCTAAACATAGTGGGATGGAAGTAGTAATCACAATACTTAAATAATTTTTTTGTTATGAAACAGCAGTCAGTTCATCCAAATAAATTTGTACGCGATTTTCGCTATGACTCATCCAGAAACAGTCTCTCCCCCCTTAGTACAGGGGTACAGGGGTAAATGAAAATGATGATGATATAATCAAATTATTATTTCCATAATATTATTAGTTTTTTTCTTTAATGTGAACTTCCATAATTTTTTTCTTAATGTGAACAATCAAAGTTGTGCGAAAGTTTTGCAGTTGACGAAAGTCAAACTTTTGGGATTAAAAAATAACGGAAGTAGTGTATTGGTCGATGTGACAATTCTATACATACACATTTAATTTTGAACAACAAATTATAGAAATCATACATCAAAAGTGTCAACCAATATGACATTTATTATCAAAAATTTGAATGGTCACTCTAACACTAGATTTTTTATCAATATATGATGCCTTGGTGGAGTATAGTTCAACATGCCTTCCGGACTAAAAATGGTGATAGTAAACTTTTCAAAATATAAAACGGTTCAAATAATCAGCCTGTTTTGAAATTTGAAGTTCGAAATATTTAGCATAGTTAGAGACTTAGAGTCTATAATTCAAAATTTGGTGCATAAGGACCAATGTCGAGTCGTTATATACTTATATGCATGAGTTTTAATAACGAAGCTTGAATGTGAGATTTAGAACTCAAAATAAAAAGGCTATGTGTACTAATTTATGACTTAAAATTCTACACTAAAATACTAACCCAATGAAACCGAAGTCTTGACTAACATGGTCTCCCTTGTGGATTATTACTTTTTTCATTTACAATTGATTTGATACAAATTGTTGAACAATTATTCCGAAAGTATTTACTAACACAAATTATTCAGGGGTATTCTAATTAATCGTTTCACTTGACAAGTTGATATAATTTTCCAAACCTAACTCTTAAACTTACTAAACTTATTCCGTAAATGTTCATTTATTATTGTGATTGTTAATTTATATATATTGTTAAGGGGTTTCAAAACTCTTATCGAAACCCCCTTAAAGTGTAGTCCATTACAGTCATTGCTAGCTAGCTAGTTATTTCTATCGTTGTTATATAGCCCCTCAGTCTCCCATAACTTCACATATTAATATTTGAATTTACCTTTTTTGTCAAAGCTAACAATAGAAAGTTTTCAAACTTTTCATGATATATGTAGTACTTTTATAATTTAAATACGGGGTACATTTGTATTCAAAAGTATGATTAGTCATTGATAAAGAAAAGTCAATATGATGAATTAGACAAAGGAGGGATAAAATTTTGTGGTGATGTAATTTATTACTACTACAAGTCATAGTAATTACAAACACAGTTTTAACTACTTATTCATATGTTTTGCAATGTACTACTACTTATGTATAAATATACTACATTCGGAGTATATGTTTATTTTAGTTATATAATGTAATGCAAAATATATAGTTCACATTATGTGATAGACTTTCATTTCTAATACAGTATATGGGTTGGATTTTGGCCGATGATGTGGCGTGTATGGGGTTTCCTTTCTGTTTTCAGATTTGGCAAGGGCGAGTGTGGCACCGGATACGGAGCATCCAAACGGGACGCAGGGAAGGAAGCATAACAACTTGAGTGTCCTCCAACAGCATGTAGCATACTTCGACCTAGACAACGATGGAATTATTTACCCAACCGAGACTTACTATGCCAGCCGTCAGATGGGTTTCAATGTCATTATCTCCTTCCTTATAGCACTTGTTATTCATGGGGCAATGAGTTACATGTCTCTTCCAGTAAGTGCTTTGTCTCCTCCTGGCTGGTGCATATTACTTTTACACTAGTACTAGTACTAGTATTCATTTGAGACTATAAGAACTAATAAGTGGTGGTATTCATTTGAGACTATTATCCTCATAGTGCACATTATAAAATGGTAAAATTTGTTACCATGATTTTAAAATAGCCGTCACAAGGCGAATCTAGCATTTTTCGGTGTGAGCCAAAACCTTTGTTTGATACCAAAGGGCCTAATGCGCGGAATTTACATACGTAGTACTATACATTGTCTATTCTGAACTATTGCTTTTTTTAGTGTGGGAATTGGCCCTCCCTCGGATTGGGTCAGAGCCTCCAAGCACGGAATTAGCCCTACTGTTTTCAAAATGCCCTGCCTCGAATTGGCCCTCCCTTGGATTGGCCCTCATTAAATTCAAGTTTTGAGAGGTCATTTTTTTTTACAACTAGAAAGTTTAAGAGTAATAAATAATTATATATACTATAAATACACATATATACCTATTTGTTTTTCAAAAATTTGGGTGTTCATTTGAACACTTTAGAACCCATCAGAATCACCTCTAGTTCCATCAAAATCACCTCTCTAGCTAGGGAGGGCTAAACGGTGGCCCAAAAATATCTTAGTATATATACATATTCAAGAATATGCTAAACTATAAAAGTCTACCTTAGATATTAAGTTTTGGCTCTAGCTCCACTAAGAATGTGTGCTCTAAACTTTTAGTTCCAACCACAGTACCACACATCCCCTACAAAGTAGTGTTAGGGGCTCTTTACTTTTTTTGAATGGGTTAAGACGTCTGTTTGAATGGTAATAATAGAATATTTGTTTATTGAAAAGGGTAATTTCAAGTGTCTAAAATCATAAAATGAATTACTAAAATAAAATAATTGCATTACATCATAAGAAATACTCTGTATTCAAGAAATTTCCAATAACAACATTTTAAATATGCACATCAACCTTAAAAATCTACTCATAGCGCAGAATACTATTTCAAATGAGCTAAAAAATGATAAGCCACAACAGATCAAGTTCCCATATTGATGCTAAAAAATAAAATGTAAATCGGTCAAATAAAAGCAAATTTTCCCAATTCGACAACATTAGTATAGTTGAGATACTTCAAATACTTCTTAAAAATAAATCCCAACTTAATTATCCAAACCTAATTAAAGAAGGATTTCTTGTTCTAGAACTTGGGCTATGCTCAGAATTGGCTGCAAGCCTGCAATATGTTTGAATTTTTAAAGCTAGGGCTGTGCTTAAAAGTATGAAACTGAATATATATAAATCCCAAGAACAACTAATCAGAAATTCGTTTATAAGGCAACCGTCATAGATTATTGAACATGAGTTTTTTTGAGTGAAATTGTAGAAACTCTATCAAAACACAAAAAATGAAGTGAATTTACAAGAAAATCGAAATTCAATTTTGCAAGAGATGAACAATCAGATGGAGAATAAGAAGAAACTGTAGAGTATAAAAAAGAAACAAATAAAATTAAACCCATGTGCAATGAGAGGAAATATCGATCGAGTGGAAGGGGGTGAGAGCTTTCTTCGCCGCTTAGCTCTTTTCGGATAAGCACTAAAGCACGCCGGTTTTTAGAGCCCGGTGTTGCCGGTGATGGTCCCTATTCGGATAAGCAAGGGTTATAAAAGGGATTCCTCTTCCAACGAGACGTCTGAAGCGCAAGGACAATAAAATTTACGCTGAATGGATAAGTCACAAAACGTCTGAGTGAATAAGTCCTCTTTTTCATTGAATGGATAAGTCACAAAACGTCTGAGCGAGTAAGTCCTCTTTTTCATTAAGTCCCAAGTAAACAAAACTATATAGCTTATTGATTAAGTCACAATACCATTAAGTAAACAACCCCTTAGTCTTCTTGTATATGTAGTACATTACTGTGCGTAGTAGATGTTATTTTTCTAGGTACACATTTCTAAGTGAAAGTTAAAGTCAATCATAGATATATTTTGCTTGGCTAAAAGAAAGTGAAAAAATGTACCACTATTTGGATTTCATATAAAAATCTAAACAAATGGAGTGGACTTGAAATATTTAAGAATCAAGGAAAGTACTTGTACGAGTCTTTCGAAGGTAAATTCTAAAATGCCTTAAAAGTTCTAAAGGAATAGATCCCCATACTACCAGGGGCGGCCCTGTATGATCAATGGCCTAGGGGCGGAAAATAAAAATGGGCCTAATGTTACAAGAAATTTGTGGAACTCTTTTCTATCTTAAATGACATGCATAATAATTATAATTATAATAATAATATTTTAAGACATTTAGAATTTGACTATGTGTTCTCATCTTGAGAAGGACATTCAGAATTTGTCTTTTTTACACAAACAAACTTTTCCATTGAGTGTTTTTTTTTACTTATCGCCGCTTTCTTTAATCTTCTATTCTTTTGTATTTATCGTATTCAGATTCAATCCTTTTTATTACACTTTGAAATTAATTAAGTTTATAATTTTATCATAATTGAAATGTTTGTCTAACAAATTCAACAAGTTATAATACCAACACTCAATAAAAAACAATCAACAATTACGAAATCAAACAACCATGAATGAAATCAATTAATAAACTAATCAAATAATCACATCCGACTAATCTGCTTTCGAGTGAAATTTCTTTATGAAATTTTTTAGAGAATGTTTTCATCACGTGTAGATTATGTCCATAAAATTTGAGCTTAAAATGCAACCGTGAAGTCAGTTAAATAAATTATTGAAACACAATGTGCCAAAATATGGATAAAAAAGCAGTGTTTTCAATAATTTATTTAGGTGACTTCTAAATTAAATTTTAAATTGATTTTTTTCTCACATATTCTAAACTTCATAGAAAACATTCAGAAGAACTTCAACAAATTCCACTCGAAAAATTGTTACTTTAGGGTCGAAAATCAGCCTACACACATGTTACAAAGAACTAAACTTGGGCCTATTTTTTACCCATATTTTTTTTGGGCCTAGGGCGCCCGCCCCACTTGCACCCCCCCTAGGGCCGCCCCTGCATACTACCTAGGTTCCATTCTATAATAGTTCAACTTCAAAGAAACTCATAGCTTTATATGTCATTTTTGCAGGGATGGATGCCTTCACTTTATTTCCCAATATACATAGAAAACATACATAAGAACAAGCACGGGAGTGATACGGGGACCTATGATGTAGAGGGCAGGCAAGTATTCCTTTCCATTGTTAGGCTGTATTTGGTTTCAAGGAACTTAGGAAGGGAAGAAGATGTGTGGGTGGTTTTGACATTTACATTTCATGTGCTCAGGTTTCTTCCTGTGAACTTTGAGAACATCTTCAGCAAGTATGCAAGGACGGTGCCTGACAAGCTGACGTTAGGAGAGCTGTGGGAGATGACGCAGGGCAATCGCAACACATTCGACGTCTTCGGGTGGGTTGCATCCAAATTGGAGTGGGGAATTTTGTATCTTCTCGCCAAAGACAGCGATGGAATGCTATCTAAAGAAGCCATCAGGCGATGCTTTGACGGGAGCTTGTTCGAATACTGTGCGAAGATGCAAAAGGGACGAGAAGCTAAGATGGAATAAACTGATGAATCACAAACAACCTTACCAATGTTTATAGCTCAGGATCCTCATAACCAACCTTAATAAAAGGAAGTCTTGTACCCAGTCATACCGGTTTATGTTTGATATGATACAAGTTTTCATGTGCGACTTATATCAGCTTTCATTTGGAATTTTCATTCTAGGAGGTTTTGTGATATTTCATGTTTCTATGCTGTAATCAGTCTTCACAACGGCATGCCCTTTGTGATGGAACTGTAGTCTTTTTAAGCCAATTTTTAAACCAGTTGTCTTTTTAAGCATGTAAAAGTGAGGCGTGTACACAAAGCATTCCTCAACCGATACAGAAATTGTCCCACAACGTATACAAAAATTGTCCCAAATAGGAGTAAAAACATGTCATGTTTAAAGCCCAGTAATGCCAAACTTGTCATAAATTTACTCCTATTCAGGAAAATAAAAAATATGATAGTCCCGAGCTATTGGAGAGATTGTGCACGGTTCTAGCTGTTCTTCGATTGGTTTACTAGGAGATGACATTCGAGAAATGGCGAAGCATTTTTCGTTCATTACTTTTTGTCATATTAAGCGTTCAGTGAATAAGATTGTTCATAGCCAGAGCAGCTTGTTCTTTATCTGATTCGCGATCTTTGCTTTATTCTCCACCGTCTTTTATTGTATCTGCTTTGAACAATGATTTAAATAATTAATTTAGATTCTTGCAAAAAAAACATAATAGTCCTATTTTGGAATTTCAAAACGTTTTTACTCCTATTTAGGGAATTCTCTCCAACATATAAATATCTCGGTGATATACTAAAGTATTATGTCCACAATTTTTATATGTAACTTTATCAGTTGTTTTAATATGTACAAACAATTAGAGGACTCTATGTTCGTATAGCTAAGATACCCATTGCAATTTGCAAATAATTTTCATTAAGGATGTTTTCATTATGGATGCTTGACAAATGAACAAAGACAGCTTTTAGCAATTGAACAAAGACAGCTTTGAAAGTTGGAGCAGGCAAGTAGGCAACAATTGAATTCAATAAAAGTCTATCATTACATTGATTATGGCAACATAGCTAATTCAATTATAGTCTCTCACTCTCTCATCAAGAACAATACAATTATTTAAGCATGCCATTTGCTTCATCCTACAATAAAGATATATAAAGAATGCTGCTCAAGCATTTTATTTTCTACCTGGCCCTGGACGGAGTTTCGCCACATGAACTGGCGGGTCCTCCATTATGCTCCGTGCTCTGTCGGAATACTGTTCGACCGAGGACATGGCGGGACATCACATGTGTCAGCTAGCAATTTGAATTCACTCAAAGTAGGTGCTGCTGACTCAACCACACCAGTTTGCATACAGATATGCAATTGGCATGTTTATCCTACATATGTCCTGAGTCTACAGATTGTTATTGACTAGAAATTAGGAATTGAAGCTTTTTCCCACCTACTTACCTACTGCATGAAGCACATGAGGGTGAGCCAGGAATAATGATTATCTTTTGAAAAGTTCAACTCCTTGTGTAGTTGGGCATGGATCAAGTCTTGCTACAAGATACTTCTCTAACCTTGCCTATTATCTTCATGAGGAAATAAATGAATCTGTGCATATAGTATTATAGTCAATGTTTAATTTTTAGTTTTTAAATGTGTTAAAGTTCCACACTGAAAAATTATGAAATAATAAAATGCTACATTAAGATCTATGTTACTTTTCTTATCAATTTAACCTTTTAGGATGAAACTTCATATTTTAACATGGTATTCAATTCAAATCGATCCATAATCATGGTGTGGCCCTCTATAAGAAAATTACGATGATTATAAAACAATGATAATGACAAACCGGTGAAAAAATGAAGGATGGGTGTCAAAGTCCTACACCACAAAATTATGAAGTAATAAAGTCCTATATTGAACTTTTAGGATGGGACTCCGTAGTTTAACAAAACGCATTCAAACTACAGTTTTATGTCGATAGCTGTACAAACTATAAATGGCATTATTGCTCTGAGAATATAAAATGGCTAAAAGGAAGGTTAAATTCATTAAGCCATTGTTAGTTCTTTATAAGGCAAAAATTTAAGTTAAAACGTTTAGAGCTGTTCAGTAGTGACCAAGTTTACTGAAATAGCACATGGGTTTGAAAAATTAAAACCACCACAAACCCAAGATTACCAAACTTTAGGTTTTCATGGGTATAACTGTATAAGTGTATAACGGCATCATGTACGATTTCCAATAATCATATTTTTCCAATATTGATACTTTTGTTAGGATCAAATGATCAATGTTGTAAATAGTGTGAATACAAATCTAGCTTAGATCACGATACAAAATTTCTCATATGGAAATGCCTGTGGTATTGCTAATCCACTAAATTTAAATAATCAATGGTGTGCCTTCGTGTGCACAAAATTTCCCAACCAAAAATCAGGACCAGACATGCCCTCCATCAGACTTCTTTTGTTTCTTCTTCTTCTTCCTCTCTTCCTTCGTTTCTGCCCTCGCCTCAATTCGCTTTGTGTTGCGGGAACGTATTTCTAATAATTTTGTTTTTGCATCTCTGAAAGGTGCATCTGACTTTAATGCCATCATTTGCTGAGATAGAGATTAGAGAGTGAAAGTATATCAGGGTAAACATCAAGAGAATCAGTTTGAGGCAAATTTTGAGTTCCAGCTCATTCCTAATAATATGTCAATGTAGCCAGGAAATTTAAAATTCAACTGCTAAAAAACTTAAAACAAATTTCAACCCAGGCCAAAATCGAGTCTCACCAGCAGCATGTCACATTCGTGCCTGGTGGTTAAATTTAAACACTCAAACATTACTCTTACACAAGAGTTAACCGAATGAACATTTAAATTTTGCTGATTTGAAACCAATGTGACATGCTAACAAGGGTTGGCTACATTAGTGGGAATTTTTGAATAATTGGCTCGAATCTAAAATTGTGGGTAAAAATTTCAATTCTGAAGTAAACAGGCTAGACAAAAAAAGCATTACTTACCTTGAGATGATCCATCGCAGCCAGGTTAAAGCCAAGTGTATCTTTGCATTCCTGTACCAATTCAGACCTCAATTTCATAAAGTGAACTCCTTTGAATAAGCCCATAACAAATGTTTTCACTTCAGAAACAGTTTAAATAAAATTGAAAGATCAATGAAGTTATACCTGAATTCTTGTAGGGATTACATCTTGGAGAAGCGAAAGTAGAGGTCTAGCAGATACAGTTGCAACAAGCTGGTTATGGTGCAGTTGTAGCAACACTGTGGTCATTCTACAGACAAGCTCCACCTGCCAAAACATGGTCAAAAAGCAGAATATATAACCAAATGACGGTACAAGGACAAAAAAACTATTATACTCCTTTTGCCTCTATATCTTTAGTCAGAAACATTATTATATTGGGGTCTCTTTGGAATAGAGAAATTGATAGGGAAACATTATTTGGAGTAAATGTAAAAATTTAGCTCAAACTCAATAAATCTACTTTAAATATTTGTTCAAACTGTTTTTTATTACTATTTTATTAAGATAGGAAATATAAATATGTAAAATTTCAAAGAGTTTTAAAATTTTAACCAAATGCGATTTTCTTTCATTCTTTCCAAGGTAAAACCAAACCAAAAGATCATACTTTTTTCCTTCAACTTAGCTACAATTTTCCACGATATAAACATAGCCTTAAGCATTTATAACTAAATGTGAGGTACGGATCTTCTGAAACAATACAGTAATTATGCACAGATAACACTATGCAACTAACTATGATGATGGCAGAAAGAGTTGTCACAGAAATCATAGATATACCTTCTCAGGTATATATGCCCAATCCTTCAAGTAAGCCAAAAGCTTCAGGGCATCACAGAACGGTAGTGCCTGTCAAATGTTATTTCTTTTTTAGAAAGCAATTAAAATTGCAACAATTAAGCACACGTTGAGAGAGGGGTATAATTGGTTCGTTATATTCTAATATAATAGTTTATGCATACACCTCTTCCACTAATTATGGTGTACACATTAACTTCATCAAGTGAAATTACTAATGACAACAAATAGACAAGTATAGAAGTTCCACTTAACATTTTTCAGCAGGAAAGATAAAAAAGAAAACCACAATTTAAAGAATCATTGAAAAGGCAATTACTTGTAATTAGCAAATTGAACTTCATGCTACAAATAAAAACCACGCCACTCACCAGTAATGTTTGCTCCAAGTCATTTGTGTGGACATTTGAAACTGCGCGAAGAACGAAAGAAGAGGGAGATAGCCCAAGCATAAGGATATTTGGCCGAAACGCAACAACTTTGCCTTTTGATTTCTCCTCCTATATATTGATAAATGAAATTTGTCAAGTCATGTCAATTAAGAAAAGAGAACTAAAGAAACACAACAGGGCAACCTGGTTGTAAATGGACCAAGTCATTCAGGAACTATGTAGGGCATTGATTTGTCAATAATGCTATATATGCAAGTTCGTTAATCAGTTGGGTAGTAAGTTCCAGCTTGTTTTGTTTAATAGTGCATATGCAATTAATAAATCTTAATAACTAATATAACTAAGTGATCCTGAAATCAATGAGCTAACGTAACATTTTCTAAGTTGTAATAGAATGTAATGAAATCAATTTGTAGTAAGAGGAAATACCTGCCTTCAGAAAACAAAATGTAGTAGATGTTTCAACTACCAATTGATTCCATTGCACTCCATTACGACTTACCACACATTGCATAGATGCAACATTTTCTATGTGGAAGTGTGTTTATTAGTGTTGTTTGCTAAAGTTTTAACCTCAAAGTTGAGTTAGGTTGTATAGTCGTGCTCTATGTTTCCATCATTTGCAATGGAGCCAAAGATTCATTATTTTTTGGCTTGAGAATATGATGGGATAAAGCAAAATGGCTCACTAAACTGTCTGCGCTTCTTTGTTATGAAGCAGCAGTCAGTCCATGCAATTTTGGGCGCGATTTTCACTATGGGTCATCCGGATTGCTTTAGTACAGGGGTAAGACTGCGTACATCCGACCCCCTTACCCCACCGTAGGTGGGAGCCTTTGCGGCACTGGGGTAAATGAAAATGAAAATGAAATGAGTCGTGCTCTATGTAGTTCTTAACGAGCCCAATTCAAAATTTGTCTTGTTTAGTATTATAAACAAATTTCTCGCAAGCCAAGCTTGAGCTATTCACAAAGCACCAATTTTGACAACAAACTAAATAACCAGAGTTCAAGCTGAGTTGTAGAAGCCTGTATCGAGCACAATCTTGCATAAAGATTTCACACAAACTGTTTTGGGCGTACCCATATCACAAACCAAACTTGAAGTCATTAGTAAATGGTTCTATTCGGTTGCATCCTAACAGCGAGTCAGCTAGTACCGATTTCAAGATTGAGATTATGTGATGCCATTTAAAAGGTGTGCACCCATTTGAAATTTACCAAAGGGGAAAAGGGTGAAACAGATCTTTCATATTATATATGGTGTCATATCATTAGTGTATGCATGTATGTATGTACGTGCGTAGGTACGCATGTATAAATCATGAGAAACTCTGATAATGAAGGACACCTGACCTCATATTCAGCAATGCGCTTAGCTTCATGTTCTGCAATGTCTAAGGCTTCAATAATGGAGTCTGTTGCGTTAAGAGTTTCTTGAGTCCTCTTTCCTGCTAATGCCACAGCTCCTTCCTCTGGAAGCTCAACCTCCTTCGCTGCATATCTATTCTCTAAGGTGTTGTCAATGTCAGATTCAAAAATCTCCTCTAGCCGTTTCTCTTTCTCTTCCTGCAGTTTATTAAACACCATATTTCATTTATTTTAAGAAATTTAACAGGCGCAAGAGAAAATAATAACTTGCATAAAATATATGCTTGTTCCACATCAGTGAGAAATGGGAGATTTCACTTCCAGCACATGGCGTATAAGTGTTGACTGTAAACTTTCAAGTTTCTAATATCATTTGTTGACTGATTTTGAAGCTAGTATACAAGTGAACTGTCACCTCTAAAAGGTTGGGTGGATAAAGGCCCAATTTAACATGATCCCAAAGCCTAAACAGATGGTGGTTTATGAAGCTCCTGCCAACTTCATAGTTGGCTTAGACCCATTTGTCAACCCCTTCAGTTGTCTAATCAAGTTTGCGCTGAGAGGGTGTGTTCAGTTTCTCGCATTGGTTGTTTACTACTTTACTGGGCTCGAGTCTGGTATATAAATGAGCCAACCCTTACTTCTTAAAAATCATTTTGGGGTGAGTAAGGTCCAACTTAACAATATGCAGGTTAGAAAGAAAATATGCAAAATACCTCAATGAAAAAAGGTTCTTCAGTACGATCCCAACGACGTATTGAACGATCATGTGATCCCGTTACAAAAAAATCTCCACGGTTGCTGACAGCAAGACACCATATTTCAGCATGATGCCCCTCAAGTGTTAAAAGCAACTCAAATTTGTCAGCATCCCAATATTTCACAAGACGGTCTTTACCCACACTAAACATGTAATGGGTATTGCGCACAAACTTAACAGCCATGACACTATCAGCATGAGCAAAAATGGACTTGTGACAGTCACCAAAATCCAAACCCCAGATCTTCACATTTTTGTCAGCAGAGCCACTAACAAGCAGATCTCCATCTGATGAAACATCCATACATAGAACAGGCAGTTTGTGGCCATACAATGACAGAAAAAATTTGAGAGAATCCATGAAAAACACCTGAAAATGTTTCAATCCACCACACATAAGGTAATAGTCGAAGTGTCGAACTGTTAAGAGTGACAAATATAATGTTTGTTTGGTTCAACAATTGAATTAGATCCAATTTGAATAACGTGTTGTGTAATCGTGTTTCTTTTATATATAAAAATAAAAATTGAAACTGAAGCACACCTTGATTGTGCTATCCAAAAGTGCAGCTGCAATGTATTTACCATCAGGGCTGACAACAACAGCAATGACATCATCATCCATTTTCTTACTCCTCACATGAGATGCAGTTATATGCTTGACTTCCTGTTTTTTAAGGGGGGAAACTCATTATATACTATGTTTATTACATATTCTTTCTTTTGGATCGTGTGTCTATCTCAAAAGACAGAAGACTTACACACCTGACCAGACTTTATGTTTAACTGTAACTCCCAGAACTTAATGTCATGATCAGCACTCCCAGTAATAAAACCAGTTCCATCGGGGGTTGCAGCAATTGATTGAACCGAGCCACCATGAGCTTCCACCACATCAACGCAAGTACCACTACTCACATCAAGGATCTCTAAAGTTCCTCCTTTTGTTCCAATAACTGCATATTTGTTTCCAGGAATAAATATGCCACACAACCCATATCCTGATTCTATTGTCCGTAGGCAAGATCCAGTGCTAGGGTTCCATATCTTAATCAGACTATGACTTGTTGACATTAAGAGTGTGTTGTCTGAACTAAGAGTAACACTTCTTACATCAGAACGATGCCCTTGGAGCTCAATACTACTGCTTTTGTTGGCTGTCCCACTTTCATCAATTGCATAAAATTCTAATGAATTATTATTCAAAGACAATGCCAAAGTGGCCAGTGTGCCCTTAGATGCAACCGGACTAAAAGCAATTGAGCATATTTTCTTTCCAGCACGCAGAGTAAGTAAAAGCTTGAAAACATCAAAGGCGGTAATAATAACAAGGTTCTTGCCTTCTGGATGGATTCCAACATTATTTGAGTCTCCATTTTCTTTCAATGTTTTCTTCTCCTTCCTACTAATTCTTCTTTTTGCTTTACGTTTGGATTCAGATTCATCCAACACACGAAATATCTCTACTGTCTTCCCAGCATGTTGACAAGCCAGTATGTTTCCGGTTCGGTTGAACCTCACGGAAGCAACCCTATCCTTGCTCTGTCTTTGAATTTCGCCAAATGGCCTTAGGAATTCCCATTTGCTTTGAGTGGTAGCAGCACTGTCTACTCCTTCATTTGTGTTAGCTATGGGTTTATCAGCAGACAAATCATGCTTAATTGTGTAAAAACGAAGCTCTGGATCGGCAGATCCAGTAACCAGATATTTCTCTTCAGGGTCGGCATCTATGGACCAAATTTCAGTATGATGCCCACTAATGATCTGCATGCAGTGCTGAGTATCAAGGTCCCATACTCTCAAGAACTTGTCCTTGGAAGAGCTTACCAACTTTTTCCCAGAGTCTAAGAAAAGAACATCTGTAATCTGCGCCACAAGAGGGGATTTGAATCAGAAAGTCAATCATCACAAGTTGCATTCGGTGCAAAAAGAAAACCAAGTACTATAACGGTTAACAACAAGTTTCGTTTTGGAAGAAATCATGCAGATTAAGGAGTCCCTAAATGAAGAAAAACTAGACAATATTACCCCTCATAAAACGGAGTAATTGAATGTAGAAAAATAAAAGGGTGGGAAAACGACATACAATGTCAAATAATACCTCGATCCCATATTAGACTTCGTTTTATGATTTACTATGTTAGACTGAAGATAGAGTTAGTTCTCCCCTAATTACAAATAAATTAGTGTTAGACGGCAACTTAGACTGTTAGTAGTTACCATTTACATGTTCTGAAACTACACTGAAATTTCTATTGAATCACAAAAACTGAATTAGAATATGACAAAAGTTCAATCCATAAATTTTGAGATAGAAGGAAGTTAAATTGACTGCAAAAATGATAACTATGAAGTTTTCTGTAGTAGAGACTAGAGATGGTTCATTCTTTCATCCAAAATGGGACTCATTCTGAACCAGAGAATAAAATTATTTACCCAAATTAAAAGTTGGAGGTATGAACCTGGTCACGATGTCCACGAAGTCGAAACAAACCAGCCTCACCAACTACATCCCATAAAATTACATCATTATCTTTGCTCCCTGATGCAATAAAAGATCCAGTTTTGTTGTAGCGAAGGGCAGTGACCGCCCCTTTATGTCCATTTAAGGTGGTTTCACATAGTCCTTTTTCAGAATCCCATACTCTTATGCTCCCATCAGCATAACCACTTGCAATCTGCAACAATCACCATTTATCACCACAATACCGTGAACAAAGCTCCAAACTTGGGGATCTTTATATCTAGTAAAGAGCATCAGCAAGGAAAAGTCTGCATATAGCTCCTCAAAAATGTTCATAGAGTTACTAGAAATGAAAAGCTAACCAAAAGAAGAGAACTACTTCTACATTTAGTCAAAGCAGAAGAAAGGCTTACCTACAAACGTCTAGTCTTTCTTAGTATATATTTAGCTTAAAGAATAATCAAACTGTACAGTAAAAAATGAAAAATAAAAACTAAAAAATAAAAAAAAATCTCCAAGCATATGCATACGTGATACGACACCAGAACACACATTGTATTTGTAGTTATTCTATTTGACAGTTTTGTTTGCACAAAAATAGAACTCTATTTACTAAATGCAAGTACAACAGAACACCAAAAAACAGTGTCTATATTATAATCTGAGCAGAATCAGCAGGAATACAGAACGGTGAAACTGAAAAAGCGAAAATCAAACGGCATAGAATGACTAACGAAAGTTGAAGGTGAGGCAGCAATGGAGGTGACAGCTAGGGAGAGCCCTTTGGATGATGAGGAAGCTGAAGGAGCCAAGGATTTGGTGCAGATGCCTTGCCGTACGTGCCAAATGCCAACCTTCTCTAGTGCTGCTGCTAGCAGGTGTTTCCCGGAACTTTCATAGGTTATGTTCGAGTCTATGGATGCTATCACTCCAAAAGCAGCAGCTGGTTCGTACCGAAGGTATGACTTCACCATTGCTCACAGCAGCCTGAAAAACAAAATAAGCCATCCTTAGCTTAGAATTTGAATAAATAAATAATCTCCATGTATATAAAAGCTGGACCGTGCTTGCAGATAATCTGCAGAACTTTGGCTCCCCTTAATTTAGAAAATTATTCATCGTTTAAATGAAAGAACAGATAAAGAACGAACCTCAACAACACTCTATAAGCTGAGATATGATAAAATAAGAAGACAGATAGTAAATTCAGGATATTAGACGAACGGCCGGCGTGGTAGAGGCTGCGTCCGACCTAAGGGGGAAGAGGAGATGGAAACGGAGAGAGCAATATGGTCCACTTTTGGGCCAATAATTTAAGAATTAATTCCACTTTTACTCCTACTACTTTTGTGCCAATTCGAGTCTTAGTTCATATTTTTCACTTTGTTCACTTTTATTATTTTACTAATGTTTTTCAACCGTTTGTGATCTTTTTACGGTAATTTTAACCATCTAAAACAATTTCGGAAGGACCATATATGGGTGAAAGCACACTAGTCAAGTATTAAAAATGGACAAAGTGAAAGATATATACTAAATGTGGAAATGGCCTAAAACTCATAGGACCAAAAGTGGAATTTATTCAATACTTTGAATCATCTAATTTAACAGATTTTATACTATGTTTTGAAGACATAGTATACAATATATATATTAAAGAAGACAATTAATAAGAAAGAATATTAATAAATCATATTAGTAAATAAAATAGACGAACGAGTAAGACAATAACCAAAACAAAGAAATACTCAATGACCAGAATTAAAAGGGGCTCTATAGCTCGGAAACGACGAACAAAAATACGTTCTTTTACATCACGTTTTCGAGGGGCTCATTCAACATAAAACGACCGGGTCGAATGATCAGGTCACGGGACAATTCGATAACGCTCTAAAACCCGATCAACTTAGAAAACAAAATTACTATTCTAAAATATACAATTTTTAAGAAAATATAAAATGTATTTTAAAGTAGTGAACAAAAAATACGGATATGATGCTTATTAAAAACATATTAAGTACACCAGTCGTCCCTTAAAACTTTGTCAACTTTCCTTTTTGGGTTGTCCCAATAACTTTGTCACTTTCTCTTTTAAGTAAAAAATGTGTGGTTTCAATTAATTCTCTCTCCTCTGCACAAACCTCTATCACACAGTTTTTACTTTATTAATCCTTGTGCCGGTCAAACTTGGCAACGTTTTAAGGGACGGAGGTAGTATTATATAAATACTTTCACTAATATTAATAAAACATGGTAAATGTTACCCGACATTTACCCCACTGATTTTGATGGTGTGTCTTGCGAGTTATTAAAAAATAGCACTAGGATCTAATATTGGAGTTGCACTAGCGATCATTTCTCCCTTTAGTTACGATTTTAGCTTCTTTGTCAATCTTTTTTGATTGGGCGACTCTTAGGGGGTTTCCACTGTGACGAGTTTCTTAGTGTGAACAAGAAGCAGAGACAGCAATAGCAAGAGGATGACATCATCCAGTGCAGGTCATGGGCGAAGATTGGGGTTAAAGGCTGGAACAGGTCTAGAATCAAGGTCATTTGTGATTGGTAGCGAAAGTGGAGGCTTGGCAGATAACATGCTGAATTAAAGTCAGGGTGAGGAAGAAACTACAGTATTGTTAGCTCGTTTTCCATCTAAATTGCCGCCATGGAGTCTAAAGAATCTAGGTTTTGGAGGAGAACGAGTGAACTATGTTTTAATTCCATTTTATTTTGTTTGTGTTTTTATTTCGAACTGTATGTTGTTTTGTTTGTCCTTTTATTTCTGGTTGGAGTTCTTTTAAAAGGAAAAGCTTCGGTTCCAGTCGTTTTAGGCTTAAATTTGCCTGTTTCAGGTTTAGCGAGTTAGGTTGCTTTGTATGAGGTGGTTGACTCTAAGTCTACTCATAAGGTTCACAATTGGATCTGTAAAATCTGTCTTAAGGTTGTCTTGTATCCGTTCTCGTTTTTAATATAATAGCCGCTCTTTTACGATAACAAAAAATACCACTTGGATCTAATTCAAATGTAGCTTAAGATACGGCAATGAACTTTCACCTAGACACTACATCCTCGTTTTCTCTTCTTTTCTTTTGTTCTCTTCTTTCAATCCTTTCTTAATCAATGTTTTCAATTTTATCTATATATTTCTTTCATAACGTTGTCTAGAGATATTATTTTTGGAGGCAAAGTATCATCTATCATATGTTTAATCTCCGCCATCTTCGGTCGGGCGTTCTTGAGAGCCAACAAGACGTTTGCATTGATCAAATGTTTAAACAATAACGTTTAAGTTTCAAAGAAGATAATTATTTTCAGTCATGGCCTCTTATGAGAGGACTATAAATGATAGTCAAGGTCATTCTTTGTGGCATGTTGAACTCTTATTTAAAAAAGTCATGAAAAAGAACGAACTTTTTCTTCTCTTTTTTTCCTTTTCTTCTATGTTTTGTTTTGTTTTTAGTTTAGGCTGGACAAATAGGGTTCACTTACCCTGAAGGAACACGCCGGCTCGCAAGATTTTAAGGTGTTTATCAAGCGTGACTTTATATAAGGGTTGAATAGCCCGATTTTTTTTTGCCCATTTAGCCCTTTTAGCCAGATGAATCAGAGACAACCCAACCGCCAAAGCATAAAAGATTGGGAGTTGTTATTTTGGGTTTGGGAACATAGGAGAGGACCGACCAACTGCCAATGCAGCGACACTCATGTCAAGCTCGACTGTGGATTGTTGTTTAACATCCATGATTAAGTGTAGCTCATTTAGAGTGTGTTTGACACTCTGGTGTCGTCCATCTCGATTTGGGTTGAGGGTGTTGGGTGTGTTTCGGAAAATAAAGAAAATTAATTAAAATAAATTAATTAATTAAAATGACGAAAGAAAAACAAGAAAGGAGATGGAGCAGAATTTGTCAAAGCTCGTGCTACGCACGATGTCCTTAAAACGTATTTGTTGCCTCCCACGGTGCTAGGAGCGTTGCAACAATAGTTTCCCAGGATACGATGACAACGAACTAATGTTTGAGCACACAAACAAGAGTTCCAACGAACGAGAACACAGTATGAACACAGGAGGAGTTTGCAGATTGCTAGCAGTGTGTTTTTTAGAGGTGCAAAACGTGTAGAATTCGTGTAAGAACGTGTGTTATTGCAAACCACCTGCCAGCCATTATATAGGAGGATTTGTTGTATGAAAATAGTGAATTAATGGACCTGAACGTTGGACATCAATGACCAGTCCGTTGGGCATTGAATCGTCCATGAACTGTCCATTTAACGCTGCATTAAAAGATAAGAACGTTGGGCATTAATTGTTGTAACGTTTCAGAAGCGCGTCAGAAGACCTCCATCAGAACACCCCGGGAGGGGTTCTGATCGGAGGCCAATCAGAAGACCCCAACTCTGATCCGCGGCCATCAGAGTACCCCCAACTCTGATGGGCGGCCATCAGAATACCCCATCAGAGATGGGCGGCCATCAGAATACCCCATGAGGGATTCTGCCATCAGAACACCAACGAGGTGTTCTGATCCGGGCTTCTGTCCGAGCACTTCTGCCGCTGGGAAAAAATTAAACGCTTCGGGAAGAAAACAAAAATTAATCGTATCTCTTGAGAGATAGATTTTTGGACGACATTCGTGTCCGCAGGTCGCCCGCGCACGCAAGTCGCGGTTTTTCTTCTCCGAATTCGGGATTTGATTTGCACCCCCCCCCCCCTGCGCGCGTGGAGAGAGCCTCTACCCTAAGGAATCTTAACTCCTTAAGGGGGGAGTCCCTTTATAAAGGGTTGCAAATCCCTTGGGTTTTCCGGTGTGGGAAATTAACACTAGAAACCCATCCTTTTTCCCATTTTTTCCATTCTAACGGGTAAACTTCGAAAAGCGATTTCTCATTCACCCGTTATCCGTTTTGAGCGTACCATATATCGAATTGTAGCCCTTAACAAGGACAATCCGAAACCACTTTAACCCGACCCAAATCGGAAGTGGACCCCACTCAAAAAATTGCCCCAAAATAGCCATTTAATGCAATTTTTCACACATTTTTCCAACAGAGGGGACATGCTGAAGCAGTTGTCCTGCACCAAATTGGTATAAAGAAATCAAACATTATACTCCCTCTCTATTTAAAAGTTCCTTACACTTTCTTTTTTGGAACGTATTTAAAAGTACCTTACACTTTCCCTTCTTGGTAAGTTTTTCCTTTAAAAATACTCAATTACTCTTACTTTTTCTACTTTTTATCCTCTTTTTCCTACCTTTTCACCTTGTCTCCTACATTTTCTATACTATTCATTACTATTACTATTCTATCTTAAATCTTGTGTCTACCTTACATAAATTTTTGAGCTACTTCTTGTATCATGTTGACATATTAGGATGGAACTCAAATCTTAAAATCATTTGGTTGTTGTTTAGCACCTGTGACTAAGGGTAACTCGTTAGGAGTTTGTTTCGCCCGTTTGTGATCCCAATGTTGTCTAGCTCGGTTTGAGTTGAGCACCCGTTTGTTATCCCAGTGTTGAAGTATTTATCTCACACCAGAATGGTATGAAAAAACAAATAACATATAAGATATTGGGCCACTGCTTGGTTGTTTAAACAAAGCTTGCTTGAAAAAAAAAATCTCAACTGAAGTCTATGTTCGTTGTGATGAGTGGGAAGAATGTAATCATTCAAAAACTGCCAGGGAAAAAGTTTCATTTTGGAGTTCATTAAGTTTATGCTTAAACATTTATACACCCTTTGTAAATGTTCTTCGGTTTGCATATGGGGATAAGCCTACTATGGATTTTATTTATGGAAAAATTCTTGATGCTAAGAACTCCATCAAAGAAGCTAGTCATAATCTAGAGAAAAATTACCAACCTATTTTCGACATAATTGATGAGAAGATGGAAAATAGGCTTGATAGTGAATTGCATCTGACTGCCTGTTTTAGCACTTTTTTGACAAGCTAAAACTAATTAAAAAAGAGAATTATATTACCTCCGTCCCAAATTGATTTGCAAATTTAACTTTTCTATGTCAAACAGTTTCATTTTATTTGCTTAATTAGGATGTCAATTTTTAATTATATTGTAATTTGGAGTTTGCAACTTTGAAGAGAATTTAATGTAGTTTCTGAATATGTAAATTTTAATTATTAAAAATTGAGTTAAATATCAATAAGAAGGTTTGACTTTTATTATTGGTTGACTAAAAAATGTTGACTTTGCAAAACAATTTGGGACGGAGGGAGTATGTAGATAGGGTCTCGTACAAGAACAATGAAGAAGATGACAAATGAGAAAGTAAGAGTGAAATATGGTGTATTATTAGAATGTTAAGCTGCCCTGATTACAATGAGGGATATCATATGTATAGGAAGGGTAATTAATGCTCTCATGATGGATTTGTACGTTACTGACAGGTTGGCCGTCCGTTACTGACGGGTTGGCCGTACTTTATGATGAATTCAAGTCTGCCATAAAGGTTGGTCATTACATTTAATACCTTCCTTAATCACATTAAGGCGCCTAATAATACATAAAAAGGTCACAACAATTAAGATTAAGCTTTGTGAATGCTCCAATAACTCCAGTTATCCGTTATTGGCGGTTTGACTTGACAGTTCCGACCCGACGATTTCACAAATCGTCATTAATGTTGGCCAGCTCAAAATGGGTAACCTCCTTCCTTGATAACGTTACAACAACCATCATTAAGCCTCATGAACGTATCACTAGCTTCTGTGGTCAACCCCTTTAATGTAACATAGACCGTCAGATTCTTGCTCTAACACTGCCTACCTGTTGATGTTATTAACATTCAATTGGATAAAATGGTTATGGATGGGTTCTTCAACTGTGTTGAAACTTTTTATCATGGAGACTTTGACAACATGAAGTTGTCAATAATGAGATCAATGTTTACAAGAACAAAGGAGGACATTTTGGAAGAGCATTGGCGATAAAAGGGCGTCAACAAAATGATGAAAAGTTTGATCCAAGTTTGTCAATTAATTTTAACTTAAATAAATTGTACTGATTAAAAAAAGTACTTGTTGCATCATGCATCTTGAACTTGTTGTAGTACTGAAAATGAATAGTTCAAGACTGAATTCACATGTATGGCTTAGAGCATGTACATTTCTTTTAAATCATTTAAATAATGGAAAGTTCGTATTATTGTGCATCAGTTTCGTATGTGATTAGGATTGCTTGCTATGAAGTATGAAATGTCTCCTACGTCAAAGAAATGAAAGCATGCACACTTATTTTTATTTCAATCATTTTTCCCTGCTACTATCCATCTTTAAGTATGAACTGTCTGCTACTATGCATCTCTAAGCATTATTTTCCCCCAACAAATTGGTGGATGATATATGGACATCAAGTGCCTAATTTGAAAAGACTAGATATTAGGATCCTATGTTTGACTAGTAGTTCATCCGAGTGTGAAAGAAACTGGGGTACTTTTGAATGGGCTAGTATTTTATATTTTTATTTATTTTATTTTAATTTCAATGATATGACTTCCTTCAGTTTTAGATCATGTATTTTAGTATCTAATAACGTTTCAATCTTGATTGTTAAAATGTTTCAGATTCATTCGAAGAAAAGAAATAGATTGGATGTCAAACTTTTGAACAGTCTCGTTTATGTCCAATTTAAAGCAAAGTTATTGAAAAGGACAATAAAAAGGACATGGATGACTATATTGCTCTATTAGCAAGTGATGCGAATAATGCACAAGGATGGTTGGTTGATGTCTGCGAAACAACCGAAGAAATTGATCATTCTATCATTGAAGTTGTTGAAGATGATGAAGTGTCACAGCCACCGCGGAGAAGTGCTAGACTGAGAGAACTTTATGATGATGAGTTCAAATCTGATTCAGAAGAAATGAATATGGAGATTGATTTTCAATTTGGCCAAGAAGATGAAATACCATATGGCCTAGGAACACATTGCACATGTGTTAAACTGCTGATGAAGTCTTCAATCTGTGTTGGACTGTTGGTTTAAAGTTTAAACTATTTTTTCTCAAGTTTAGTGTTCATTTAAACTCTACGTTTGTGTTTATGGCTTTTAGCCTTTGACAGCTATGTTTTTTTTCCTTTTTGGATGAACAACTGTATTTAAACTCTACAATTAGGTACATTAGTTAAATGGTTTTTCTCTTTGACATCTTTGTTTTTTTGCTTTTTTAATGAGCAACTACACTATTATGTTCATGGCTTCTTATATTATTGGGAAAATTGTCAAATAAGCCTTTGTAGTATATCATAAAAGTCAATCAAACCCTCGAACTAAAGAAACACCCAATTAACCCACTAACTTTGCAAAAACACTCAAATTCATAATTCAACAGGTGAAAATCCGGTTATCAGGTCATATTGCTGACGTGGCGACTGATGTGTTATTTTTAATTTTTTTTCTTTCTTTTTATTTTCCTTTCCTTTTGGTCTCCTCCTACTTCCTTCTTGAGACCATGCATCTCTTAATTGAGTCTTTTTAGTAAAGGGTTTAATTGATTTTTTTATATACTAGGATGACTCATTTAACAATTTTCCCTATATTATTTTGTTTATACCTTTTAATCTCTTATACGAATACATGATTGACATTTTTGAAATTTTAATTTTATCATTTGTACAACCATAGTTCGAGGAATTATATTTAAAAAAAATGATTTTATGCCGGTGACTAGACAGTGATACAATGAAATTACGAAATCAAAATTACAAAAGCAAAATTACAATCATTGTCCCCCTATCTCACCTCTGGCAAAAATTACAAAATCAAAATTCAAGTTCTTCCCAAAAAAATCAAAAATCAACATAACGATTTGTAGCAAATCCAAAGTTGTTACTAGGGGTGGGAAAAACCGACCCAAAATCCGGTAACCGAATTGACCCAACCCGATATATGACATTGGTCCGGCTGTCCAGGTTTTATTTTAAAAATGATCAGTCCGGGTTAAAATACCCGACCTGAACCCGAAAACATGGGTCCAAATTCGGGTTCCAAAAATTTAAGCCCGACCCGGACCGAAAAAACCCGATTTAATTAAGAAACTAAAAAATATATATTCTATATAAAATACATATGATATGACCTATTAATACATCATACCATTTTTTTTACATATAATACGTATACATGAACTATTTTATACTACTTCCGTCCTAAATTAATTTGCAAAATTGATTTTTTTAATCAAACAATTTCATTTTATTCATTTAATTAGGACGTCAATTTTTAATTACGAAGTATATTTGATTTGGAGTTTCCAACTTTAAAGAGATTTTCAAAAAAAAAACTTTAAAGAGATTTTAATGTAATTTTTGAATATGTAAAATTTAATTATTAAAAATTGAATTAAGTATCAATATGGAGGATTTAACTTTAACATTGGTTGACCAAAAAATTTTGAGTTTGTAAATAAATTTGGGACGGAGGGAGTATTATTTTGCTTTCGAACCAATTGTTCTTCTACAACATTTTCTATCGAGTGATTTTAAGATTTAAAATATACTGCTTCGGTTTTTACTATGTATATATATATTTATTCTATTTGAAGTTTAGAACTTTAGATATTTGCAATTTTTATTGTGATTGTATTTCAATTGTATTTAGATATCTCAGTTCAATTTTTTTCCGAGTTCAACCCAACCTGACCTGAACCCAATCCGAACCCAAGGATCTTAAAACCCGGACTAACCCGTAACTCCGTAAGTATTGGTCCTTCGATCGAGCCCAAAAATGTAGAACCCGAAGATTTACGGGTTTTTAGCGGTCTTAACCAAAACCCGACCTAACCCGACCCGATCCCACATTCCCACCCCTAGACCCTAGTTGTTAGTTGTTACTCCCTCCGTCCCTTAAAACTTTGCCAACTTTCCATTTTTGGATGTCCCACTAACTTTGCCACTTTCCCTTTTAAGTAACAAATTTGTGGTTCCATTTCATTCTCTCTCCTCTGCACAAACCTCAACCACACAATTTTTACTTTATTAATCCCCGTGCCAGTCAAACTTGGCAAAGTTTTAAGGGACGGAGGTAGTACCTTGGAAAATTGCCTCATCACAAAAAACTAAAAGACACAACTCAAAATATATAGTAAATCATAAAAGAATAGACTAATTACCCGAAATAGGACTAAAAAGGTTTGAAAATTCCAAAATAAGACTAATTACTGTCATGTTTTAGCAATACCAGACTTCAAACATGACAATATTTTCCAAATTTTACCGTAATTTTCAACCATAAGTCCATAAAAGGTGTTACAGCACAATGATGACTAATGGAATATAGAGTTTTCTTGGGTTTAGGGTTTTTACATGGACTATAATTTGGTGACCTTGTCTAAATTGTTAGTCAGGTCTACTCTGATCTAGTCTAATCTCGCCTGATCAAGTTTGGTCTAGTCAACTGTAATCTATTTGATTCTAATCTAATCTATTTGATTTTAATCTAATCTGTTCAAAATTGATCTGATCTATATATTAGTGATCCGTGAATCCGTGATAAAGGTTTCTTTTCTGTGCAATGCAATTATGCAAAACTAAAATACGGAACCTCAGCAATTAATCGACTAAAGTCTAAAACTAGTCTAGTGTAACTATTATAAGAGAAATATTAGGCAAGGTTCCAATTAGGATTAAAATTACTACTAATTAGATATTAAGATTTTTGAACTAATTAATATGAGAACACTCGGATTGGAATATCAAAAGATAAAGCAATAATGCTACAGTAGGCGTTTTGAGTCTGGTTGAGAATTTATAACACGAAAAATGTAGAGATGTGATTTCTTATACGTCCTATTGCAAAACAGACACTGAAATGAGACTGATGAAAATTCAGAGTTCATTTTACTTCGGAAGTATTTTTGAATTCATGACTTGGGCAATTAACAAAGATGAAGACTAAGCGAAATCCCAGAGTACAACACAGAGCAATCTTGACTTCAGACAATTGCATTTGCTGCGCTAGCAATTCTGGGCCATAAGTCAGCACACTCTTTACCTATTGGACCAGTAATTGCAGAACCTAAGCCAGCAAGAAAGCACCATAAATCAGCTACTTATTGTGGGAATGTAAAGCCATACAAATGCTCTGTGGGATTTATTATTATAAAATAGTCAAATACGGTTAAGTTGATGCATAACAAATTTTATGATTACTAAATAGCATTGCATACCTTTCATTTCACCCTTGGGATTTACTATAACGCCAGCATTATCTGTTAAAAGGATTGATTGAAACCACATTAGCATTGTCAGAACTGCATCCAAATTTTATTTGATAAAGAGAAAACAACTTCAAAGGGACAGCACAGAATATCATTAAAATTTTAGCTAGTGCTTACTAAGGGCTTTAAAAATTGATGAGGAAGAGCAAGTATGCTTCTATTGTCCATGACTAATACGGAGTATTAAACTTGAAATAATATCCAAATTTAATGGGTGAAGAACTATTTGGTTTTGTTGATGTTTGGTCTCTATGGAGCAGGAGTGTGCTTGAGAAACACCAGCACTCCTGTAACGAAAGACCATATCAATATACCAGACTTGTAACTGCACTAACCACAAATATGGTTACTACCTGACAAAGTCTGGAACAAGGTTGTTAAAATCGCGATTCACATCGTAAAATCGTACGATTTTACAATTCAGAATCACTCATCCGATTTAGATCGTATGCAAAATCGAATTTGCACAAAATCGGCTTGAAATTGTGATTGCAAAACAACTTTACAATTTTAAATTCGAAGCATAGGCCGAAGAAGTGAAGCCCAGTGGAAGGCCCAAGCTCACTATTATCGGCTGGCTTTGGTGCTGTTGGTAGGAAAGTACAAGACATGAATTTATTAGGGCAAGGAGAGAAGCAAATTTAAAACGAAAGGGAGGAAAGAACAAATTTTAAAAAAAGTAAAGGCACGCCTCCATTGCCTACAGGGACTCAAAGCCACTTCCAAACCTTGCAAGCACAATAGACATTAGTGATTAGTCACATTATGAATCAATACGCAGACGCAGTACTAATTTCTATGGAGTAACTACATATATTACCATTGCTTACAACTAAGAGTCTAAGACATATTTTTGCTAACAAGTTTACTTCTTATCATCTTATGGGCTTTTATTAACACAAAATTGTAAAATTAAAACTTATTATTTGACTTAATAGTGTTATGTTGTGGGTTTCTATTTATCTAATATTTAAAATATTTTTTATTCTTTATCTTTTATAAAATCTTATGATTTACGATTCGATTTTACGATTCGATTTTTAAATCTATGCTCCGATTCGATCCAAAATGCGATTTTAACAACCTTGGTCTGGAAGCAGCCATGCTCTCAAATAGAAGAGGATGTAGCTATGAGTAACGATATATTGCTAGTACGCAACATTTGATGCCAGACTAATCTCAAGTAACAATAGCATTCATTCTTTTACAATTGAAATAATTGATTGAAGAAATCATAAGACGTATTACACATAATCTGCTAGACCAGATTATACACTTCTAACAAATAACAAACTAGGTACTATTAATGTCTGGTCTTATGGAACAGAAGTGTCCAAGAAAATCATCAGCACTCCTGTAACGAAAGACAATTTTTTATATCCCAGACTAGTAACTGTACGAACCATTGGTTTGGTTAATACCTGACAAAGTCTGGATGTCTGTCCAGACAATTAAAAAGATTGTTTAACCATGAGCAACACATTGTGGTTACTCAGAGTCATAAAAGATATTTCCCGAACTTCTGTAGGTAATTAGGTGGTTAGAACAAGACACCAGACCAAGGTGTAGGGGAAGATCGGTAGTTCAACTTTAGCTGGTCATGGGAGGTATTGAGATGCTTCTGAATGAACTCTCTCAACACTACATTATCAGCAAAACCACTACGGAACTAGGAAGTCTGATTGAAGAACGGGTGGAAACTTGCACAAAATTCATACACAACTCACTAGATCCAAAATCACACTAGGTTATCTATGGTCCGTACAACATCCTGCCATGCCGATTTCTATATATGAATGGTTTGTATTACCCAGCATGCAATCTATAATAGTGCAAGTAGTGTTCTTAGTAATGTTAAAATTTATAATCAATAGTAAAAAATAACGAAATCTAAGGCATTTGCAGAATAAATGATATACCACAACATAAAAACCAGCTAAAACTCATGATGTTGTTGCACGAAAAGCGGTAGAGAAAAAGATAAAAAAGAGAGGAGAGTTAACCTTCAAAGTACATGAAAACTCCATCCTTTCGGCGAAAAGGCTTTCTCTGACGAACAATGACAGCAGGCATGACCTTCTTCCGGAGATCAGGCTTCCCCTTCTTCACAGTGGCCATCACCATATCACCCACACAAGCTGACGGCAGCCGGTTAAGGCGACCCTTGATGCCCTTGACGGAAATAATGTAGAGGTTTTTAGCCCCAGTGTTATCGGCGCAGTTAACCGTCGCCGCCACCGGCAAACCCAGCGACATACGGAACTTGTTCCCGGCCGATCCTCCGCGCCCTTCAAAATCGAACAACAGTAAGATGAGTTTATGCACATAATCGATCAATCAATTACACAATTGGATACGTAAAAGTATACGAACCTCGCTTAGACATTATGAGCTTGGGAAAATGGGAAAACTGGGATGGAGTATATGCTGCATTATATACACACACAAGGCTAGGGTTTCGTTTCTTAGTTTCTGGACTTCCGGAATCCGGATCCTATAAGCCTTTTACAGGGTGGACCGATATAATATTAGGCATTTGGGCGGTGCAAGCCCACACTGTCTTGCATATGGGACGGGTCCGTTCTGCCCCGCCAACACAACAAGGCGGGTCCGAGTAATGATATCGACCCATGTCGTTCCGCTATGATTAGCCCGCTTATTATGTAAGTGTACGTAATCACTTAACAAATAAGAATTTATTAATTCATATCAAATTAACACTATCGATTAGGCTTGGGATTACAACTTTTAGATGCTAAATTCGGTTCATTTTTGTTAAAAATGTAATTGTTAAATTCGGGTCGTTTCTAGTTAAATTCGGTTCAGTTCTTACATTTTTCGGTTCCTAATAAAAATTTATTATCCTCCTAATAAAATAAACACACTTTACCTTCAGGTGCATAAAAATTTCAAATTTCAAATGATGAAATCATGACCATAACGTTATACGTACATGATATTCCAATGTTCAAATATCACAAAAATATCCATGTGAAAACATTAAGTTTGAACATAACAAAAACATAAAAGTTTAAGATAGGCATCAACTATCAAGCAAAAAGACTCAATAGTTTCTAGGTACACATCCAATAGCGGGTAGTTCATCCTCAAAATAATATTCTTCTACTAGTAAAGCATCATAAGTAAAAAGTACACAGTAATAAGTTGATCATTCAGTAATATTTGTAATTTAATATCAACAAATAATAACGTAATCAGCGGAATATTATTTCCTTTTTAGGTGAACTCTAATAACAAATACAATCATAATTCAAACAAATAATAAATATAAAAGTGGACTAAAGTAGTAAAATTACAAGTATTCGAATTAGTGTGGTCCAAAAAATACTACGTATATAAGGAATATAATGCAAGACAAATATTTTTGACAAGAATTTTTTACTCGGAACGCCGTTTGACCACCTTCATTTGAGGTTCTTCCGTGTAGAATTTTTTGATTATATTTTGTGAGAATGTTATACATGAAGTGTAGATTACTTACACCAAATTTCAGCTTAAAATGCAATCGTGAAGTGAGTTAAATAAAATATTGAAAAAAATGCATTTTTATATGTATTTTGACATAGTGTTTTTTAATAATTTATTTAACTAACTTTCCGATTGAATTTTAAGCTCAAACTTGGTGGACATAATATACATTTCATGAAAAACAAGCTCACAAAATTTCATCAAAATGTTCTACCCAGAAGCGGGCACCTCAAATGAAGATTATTCATGCAATGTATAAGAAATCGGTTCTTGCCTATGAACCGGAACCGAACTGGAAACGAACCGGAACCAAACCGATCATATACTATAGGAACCGAACCGAAAAAGGTGAAGTCCAAAATAGTAGGAACCGAACCGAACAGGAAAATTTGGCTTGGTTCAGATCGATTTTCCGGGTTTTACGGTTCCAAGTCCCGTGCCTACTATCGATGGATGCCACGAGCATTGCACTAGTATACTTTATACACTATAGATCCATAAGTAAGTTATTGAAAGACTCAGGCAAGCTTTTTTATTTTTGACTGTTTTAATTAATCCATATATTTTTTTATTTCATGGAATAATAACATACTCCTTTCATCTCACATATTTTGCCAAGTTTGTCAATTTCATTCAAAGTAAGAAATTGGCGGTTAAAATCAATTCTCCCTTCCGCGTAAATCTCAACCGCACAGTTTTACTATAGTATTTTACGTAAAAGTCAAAGTTGACTAGGCTTCATGGAATAGTGGAAGTATATATTACCAAGCTATAGGCATGACAATGGGTCAGGGCGAGGCGGGTACTGCAAGACCCGAACCCGCCCCGTGACTTGGCATGGCAATGGGTCCAAACTTGTTGACTCATGACCTGCCCTGCCCCGCTGTAACCTAATTAGCTAGTATGTATTTTTATTTGTGGGAAGTTGTTACCAATTGAATCTACATAAAGTTTATCTCTAAATAACAATTAAAAATTAATATATTAAATCAAATTCATGATATGCTAAAAATTTCAAAAATTAAGGAAAAATTACTCAGACTTGAATAATCAATCTATTTAATTATATTAATAATTGAATATATGCATTAAAATGCTATATATAACGATGACATTGATAATCCGTTGTTCATCTCATTCTAATATATATTAATATATTATAAGCTCATATCATTTTATAATTTATCGTATGCACACATATGTATATTGAAGTATATTTGTAGTGTAATTTTTAAAAAAAGTATGTATACGTATATATTGAACGGGTCGGGTCGGGGCGGGACGGGTCAATACTTATACCCGGACCCGCCCCATTGTATAGGCGGGGCGGAGCAGACCCGCCCCATTTGCAAGACGGGGCGGACCCGCCCCAAATGTCTCGAGCCAGGGCGGGTCATTGCGGGTCGGTTTTTTTGACAAACATGTGACTCCTTGTACAAAGTGAATGTTGATATTGTTCTAAAGAGACTAGTATAATGTGAGATAGGTTACATATGTCATCTATAAATTTTAATTGAGAGTTGGAGCCTATGCAAATACTAACTTTTAGCAACTAGTATAATGTGAGATAGGTTACATATGTCATCTATAAATTTTAATTGAGAGTTGGAGCCTATGCAAATACTAACTCTAGTCACATATGTCATCTATAAATTTTAAGTGAGCAATAGAAGGGAAATAGGTTACAATTATTTAGATATTTTATGTTAATTTGTGGGAGAATATGTTTGTGTGCTCAAATTGCTTCATTATTGAACAAAGTATTTTGATATTAATTCTACAAATACATCGGATAAATTATCATAAAAAATGAGATTGTAACATTATCATCACTCATTTGAAGACTTTTAATAAATACAATTAAAACCTAAGTTTTTTCATCATTAACCACGTTAAACGAGTCCATAGGGATGTTTAAGGTGTTTTTATTTGGGGGGGGGGGGGGGGGGGATTAGTCACAACTTCATTTAAACTCGTTTTTTTTGTCAATGTGCCTTCCTAATGAGATTATTTGGGGATGTCCCTACATTCCATGGACTTATAATTTCTAGCACTTCAATTTGTGCTTAAACATCCTTCTCCTCATGAATTTCCAAAAGTAATTAACCAGCCTTTACAATCTTCAAACCTGTTTGATAATAACCATGACGAACCGAGAGTGGACAATCAATGATGCAACATTAGGTATCTTCACACTCGTCTTGTTACATTCAATATTCTGCTTGACCTGCTTACCTAAGATAAGAAGAGTTCATCGATGATACACTCTCTAATTACATAAATCCACGACTACTATTGTACTTGCTCCGAAAGTAGAATCTCGCCTCCTGCCCTATGAACCACTCCACAGCCCACTTCAAAGAATGCCATGATGCGAAAATGAGGTACCCGGTGGTCTGTCTCTTATGTGGGGAGGCCAAAACCCTCCTTAATAATGAGGCAACCGTTCTTCTGTGTTGGGGCAGGCAAGGTGGAGCTGAAACGACATTTTTGTTTCTTCTCCACCTTCATAAGGTGGTATTTTGTAACATAAGTCATCTTGTTGATGCTAGCTTACTGATTAGGGAAAAAAACTCAAGAAACATCCCCCTTCCAATATACCGCCCACCTTACACGGTACAAACACCTTCACCAATTGGAGCAAAGGAATTCTATATATTATCTAGACAGTATAAACAAGACTTAACTACAATTTGGTGAAATAACCCAAACAAAAAAGAAATCAAACTTGCATCAGATGCAAATTCATGTACAAAATGAATACCCATATGCGTAGTATTGTCTATGCCTTAGAAGCCGAATCTTTTTGTTGTTCCTTCACCTTCTGTACATTTTGGACCGAAATATAGGTTCATGACTATGAATGATTGCAGTGGCAATGGCGAAAGACTGCAGAGCTGACAGGTTTGGTTCAAAGTGAACATAAAATAAATCATCGTGGATATTTGAGATTTTCATTATGGGTGCGTTTTGTCTCGAACCCTGTAAAACCATAGTACAAATAATTACAGCAATCCGTTTTCACAGGCTCAGTTTCACAATGCACATATGTAGCTGCAAACAACAAACTAAAAGCATTGACCCTCAAACATGTAGGATAAAATGAAACCACAAGTAGCCTGATCTATTTTGGAATGCATGCCCAATTTAGGTCCTCAAGTCAATTGATCATTCATTATTATTTAATCTGGCTTTGACTTTCTTTTGGACTCAATTTGGTCATTGGCTATGCAATTTGGTCTTCGGTCTTGAGGCATATGTCGTAATAACGAAGGGTACTTAAGTACTTTGTCCAACATTAAATAAAATGGTCCAAACTCCAAATTACATACTTGGTGAGGAAATAGACATATCCTTTTTATTTGGTACCTTAATGAATGAGGAGTTGATGACTAAATTGTAGCCGCATTTCATAGTCGGGTACCAAATTGAGTCCAAAAGAAAGTTAATGACAAACTTGAGGAAGGCAATGCTTGTGTTTGCTTGTTGTGAGAAGTGAGTCATTTTACTGTATAAATATGCTTAAAAGTAAAAGCTTGTGATTTTTGAATATAAAATAATCTTAAAAGTAAAAGTTGGAGTTTTGGGTAAAATAATAATTTAGGTACATTAGTTCAAAGTGCTTAAAGTTTTGAGCACCTTCCTCTGGCTTTGAGTTTTTTGCTTCAAAGTGCTTAAAGTTAAGTTAGAAGCACTCAATAAAAACACGTTTTTTTTAGCTTTTTTAAGAAAAAACAAATGTGCTTCTCAGAAGCAAAGTAAGACTCTTTCATGCAAGAATAGCAGTGGGTATAAGTGCAGGTTCTGCACTTCTGCACTGACCTGCACAAAGAGATCAATAGTCTTGCAATCTCCCGATACATCGACTTGAGACAAAGCATCAATTCTATTTTGTCTAGTGTTGAGAATTGTCAGAGGGCAACCAACATCCCAGCCTCCACAGTCACAGTGCCCCCCAGACGACCACCTTTCCAACAGGCTAGTAGGGCCACCATCTCGGGTTACTGGTCCACCATGAAAACCAGCTGGTATTAAAACATTTGTCGTGGTTGAGCATTCAACACTGCTAATATGATAAGGACCATCAGCATGTATAGGGGTCTCTAAACATGTAACTTTCTCCCCATCCCTTGGTTTCTTTAGAAACTTTAAGCCCCATCCTCCTCCATTTCCTGCCTTCTTATGAAGATAGCTTCTGACGACTATAGCAGCCAACTCAAAGTTAGTAGGAAGATGATTTTCTTGGTTAATACCACCCAAGTCAGGCTTACTACAGACATCCAACGAATATTCTTCAAAAATTGCATCCGTTCTCTCACTGAACTTTGATGTTTTTCTTTGCTTATTTGAGTGTCCAGGCCTAAACACATCAACCACTTTCTTTGACAGTTTTTTGTTTTTTCTGTGAATCTGGTCTGGAGATGATGAATTATCTGAACAATCAACGCCAAAACCATACATGACAAACAGGGTCTCTGTGAACTCTGACTTATTTGGAGAGAGTTTGAAAGAAGTAGAAACTGTCATTTTACCAACAATAGCTGGTTGAGTTTTTTGACGAAATGTGTACAAATAACCAAAACACTTCTCATCAGAAGAGTTGACCTTGACCACATCTGCCACGTAAACCTCATTCTTACCATCCATAGAAAAAACAAAATGTGGCAAACCATTTGTCCACGTGATCTGAAGCATGCCTTGAGAAATAACAGAAGCTACAAAAGATGACTGGTCTGAGCAGGTAGAGTTTGTAGTTGACATTGAATAATGTTTTCTATGTAAGGACGAACTAGTAGAACTAAATCCGCCAGGAGAACTTGTCCAATCAGAATATGTTGGCTCTTTAAAATCAAGTGATCTAATCGGTTTGTTAAGTAAAGGGCTCTTTAGTATGTTTATCATACTCTTACTACCAGTAATTGAACCAACAATCCAATCTTCAGTTGACTTCATGATGGCATTTTCAGCATTAGCTTCTGCTAGAGAACACTCAACAACCAAATCAGTCCTATTGCTCACCCAGATGTCACTGACTTGTTTTGACTCCAAACCATCAGATAAAACTTCCATATCTGGGGAGAAATTAAAAGAGGCTACTCTAGATGCTCGAGCGTGTATAAGTTCAAGGCAACAAAGTAAAAATCTTTCATCAAAACTTGTTATATGCTTCGAAAGCTTATTTTCTGAACTACGAAAATTGTTAAGGAACCACCTTAGATCAACACTTTTAACTGAACTTCCACACAAACTATTGCCTTCTGATGGTTCAAAGTTCTCATTTATATACCAAAATTGGCATTCCCTCTCTTTACCATCTTCATTCATGTTTTTCTTTTCCATATGCAAGCTTCAATATAGAAGAAAACATTTAATGGGAGCAAATGAACTTCTGGCTCTGCCTTTTAACTGTGGAAATGAACTGAAACTAATAGAAGAGTGAGATGTGATCCGTGCAACTGGTAGTATTGTAGTTATTCTGTTACAATAAAGAATAACGAGTAAATAAATTGAATAAAAATCAACAGACAAAAAATGAGCAAGTACTGAAGAAAAGTACTCCGTAATATTTTTTTCTGCATGAACTTATAGTTGGAAACTTGGAATGAGAACTGATTCACACTATAACTATTGCCCATGATGATGATGATTATTATGTCAGGTAGGAACAATAGCAGGAAATATTTCTCTTTATCATTGAAAAAAATGTGGAGTAGCCAAAAAATGAAAAGATAAATTGATTATTTACCAACCAAAGACATGGAAACAGATAATTCCTACTGTCATACACAAAACTGCAATAGATGTATCAACCCACTATCATGACATCTTAGAAAATGAAAAGCAAAAATTAACCAGAATGGGATTTTGTTTTCATATAGGAAAACTATTGGGAAGCAATGGAGCCTGAGAATAAAACCGAACAAAAACTATGAGTAATATAGTATTAATATAGATTTCAAATTAAAAGCTTTTTCAATCTCCAGCCTCAGGAATAAACCATTTACAGCTCACCACTAGAGAGAGATGGAGAAGAGAGCATGACAATGAGAAGGTACCTTGAAACAAACAAGAGAAGCTAACCTACCAGCAGAAAACAAATTTGATATAAGAAAAAAAAAACAGTAAACAGAAGAAAAACTTCATCTTTGTGAAACCCTAATATCCTATTTTCTGTTCACCTGAAGATTTGACCCAAATCAAACCAAATCCTTGACCCAAAGGTAAAAACTTTCCATTTAAAAAGCTCATAACAGTAATGAAAACATCCTGCTACCAAATCTTTTGAAAATTCAAAGCAAGAGCGGGACAAATCAATTGAATATAAAGGACCAAATTAGCACCCAGAAGTCAATTCTGGGTTATTTGAACAAATGGGGCAAGAAAGAGAGAGGAAACAGTCAAAGAACCTTATCAGCTTCCACATCACCGCATGGTATAGAGCTCTACCCCTCCTACAATTTGTAGATATGCTTTTGATTTTTGTTTCTTCAGAAAATGTTAAGAACTGGCCAGAGCAAATATGCAGAGAGAGATGGGGAGAGAGAAAGGGTGAAAACTCACAAAACATAAAAAAAAAACGGAGTAAACTGAAAAGGTAACAGTGTGTGTGCTAAAGACAGGTCATGCCTGGAGACAAGAATGGTGTAAGCCACGATTGGTTAGTTCTTGGGGTGGGTCCAACGTTTTGCCCAATTCTTGCAAATTTTCATGGTTGAATCGTAGATATTTCCAATGAAAAGAATCGTACACGAAAACGTTTGCACATACCCTTCGCTCTGAAAATATGTTACGACAATATTACTTTAATAATATCTCGAAAATTAGTCGGTATGCAAATTTGGTGTACATTTTATTATAAAATATTTTGATTTTATGATGTGAAACATTGTTTGGAGTATACTAAACAAAAAAGTGACAAAAGAGAGAACACCAATATTACTAAGGCTATGTTTGGCACACAAAAGCCTCTGCCTTCTATCTTCTCCTTTCTTTAAAAAGACCTTAAAAGACTCTAATTGTATATTTGACATGACATTTTTTAAGAGCTTTTCAAAAATTAAAAGATCTTTTTTGAGATGCTATCGGGTGTAGCATCTGAGAAAAGCTCGTGACTTTTAGTATTAATTAGTCCTAACAGCTTGTATACCAAACTGAACTAAATCAAACAGTCAGCTTTTTACCAAACAACTATCACCTTTTCTTTTTAAGATCTTTTCAGTCACTAAAAGCTAACAGTTACTAAAAAGCTCACAAAAGTATCTTTTCAGCTAGTTGTGCCAAACATACCCTAAAAATTAGCCATTGGACAAAAAAGTGACATTTATAAATAAAAAACAGAAATGTGACTAAAAAAGGCTGAACGGACAATTTTGCTCTTACTAAAGCCCAGCAGACCCGCTACAGTGACCAATGCATTACGGTGATCAAAGCTCGTCAGTGACAAAAGTTATTAGTAATCAAATATTCAAACACTGTCAGTGATCAAAATCATTAGTTACCAAAAATTCACCCAGTTATCAACGCCTATCCGCCCAATGACCAACGTCCGCCAGTATAGTGACAACTACTCGACCCGTCCAATTACAGTTACCCGATCCATCTAGTTACAATTATCTGATTCGTCCAGTTACAGTTACTTGACACGTTCTGTTACAATTATCCGACTCGTTCAGTTACATTTACCCGTCCAACCAATTACAAATACCGATTTGATGATTTACCATTATCCGGATCGAATAATATTATCGTTGACCAACACCGCCGGCAACCACCTCCTCCGGCCCCACACCCCAGCTCGCTGCCTCACCCAATCCCCCACCCCTGCGTCACCCACCCCCTCCTCAGCCCCCAACACTCAGCCACCTCCCCATACCGCAGCTCCCCGGCCCATCTCCTGGCACCAGTCTCAACTCCCCATCCACAGTCACCCGAATCCTCGGACCATTGCTGCCCTACCATGCCCAGCCACCGTAGGATCATTGCAAATCTAGAATAGCCTCTGCCCCGGGCGACACCGAACAGAAAGAGAAGAAAAAGAAGTTGTATAGGGCGGCGCCGAGAAGCCAGGGTGATGACGGCGACGAAGATCTGTTTCTGCTCTCTTATCAATGTGAGACTAGGTGGACGATGATGGCCATGGTAGCGATATGCGGCTCGATAGACAGGGGAGGTCGCAATGTCTGCTTGATGCGTCGAGAGAGAAGAGTTGAGCGCACCGAAGTAGAAATCGAAAGGTAAGGTTATGCAGTTAGGGTACAGGGACATTAAAGTCAATTTAAGCCATTTTAAGTTAGTTTTTTGTCCAAACGCAGTTTACTCCTAGTTTTGTCTTTCCGTAAGCCATGTTTTAGTCATTCTTTCTACCGTCGTTTATTAGATTCAGCAATATAAAATTCATCCAGTTCATGAATGTTTATCAATTTTACGTTGATCAATTTTATATGTCTTGTTGAGCATTTGACAAGGCAGAAACTAGAGCCGTTTTTAGGAGATTCAATAGGTTCCACAGAAGAGGTCTCAGTTCTCACGATTTATGGAGCTCCATTTTTTAAAAAATTTATTAGTATTATATTAAAATAATAATTGAATAAACTATGAGAAATATGTGAAGGAGGAGAAGCTCGTATTGTGTCCATTCATGCAGGGCCGTCTTTAGGAATGTGGAGACCCTAGACGAAAAAGCAATTAATAATGACATGTTATTAACATATTTCTATAACACTGTAGTTAAGAAAAAGTTATAATATGACATAACTTGAATAAAAGCACACACATAGGATGAACAAAGTGTATTCAAAATGTACTATATTGTTAATGAAAATAAAAAGTCAAACATAAAATGTATAAAAAAAATTATTTATTGAAATGTAATTTATAGACAAAGATATTACTATAACTATACATATATATTTCCCCTATAGTGTTGAATGAAAAAGATCAGTCACTAAAATCACATTTAAAACTACTAAGTATTGAAATTAAAGATACAAGAGTATATTTCAATCCATTTTACCTTTTATATTGTCACTAGCGTTTACTCGCGCAAAGCGCGATAGTTTTTGCCCAATATTAAAATAACTTTGTGTTTTGTAAAAAAGTATTATATGCGAAATTGTTATGAGAGTTATGTAAATAGTTAATGAAATATCATATATATTTTAAAAAATATTGGAACACTTATTTTCCATGTGAACCAATTATTGTGTGGGAAATATTTGACCACGTGATTTGCATATATTTTATGTTTTAATAGACTCCACCCGTCCCATAAAATTTGGTGAAGTTTGACTTGCATTTAAGAGAATAAAGTAATACTTCATCTGTGTCTGATAAGCGTGCGGAATCAAAAGTTACGTGTTTGGTGAAAAAGTTGGTTGATAAGTCGAATAACAGTGTTACCCAAACGGGCTCTCAAAATACTATAATAGTATAATGCAACAACATTTGTTTGAATCTGACTAAAATTCAGATTCCATTGCTTTGATTCAAACAAAAAGAAAACGGATTTTGTTGTTTACTGGAATAACAAAAGTTAAAAGGAATGAACCAGAATTAACACGTTAATTTAGCATCCTAGCTTAACACTTTTTTCTGGGCAACTCTATGGAAGAATACATTACATCTCCATATCTCCCCAAATTCATCTTTTTCCATGTCATTGCTCGCCATTGAGAGCTCTCCGTCATAGCTCTCGATCGATCTTTTTTCAAAGGAAAAGGAAGAAGCAATTTGATCCCTTTTTTCTATTTGGTGGAGATTGTGTTTATGCAATTGTGAGGGAAGTTAGCAAAATGGATGTAATAGCGCAGTTGAAACCGGGAATTTCGCGGCAGTTCTCCACGGACCACAGGGTCGATGAAGAAGAGCTGAAGTTTCAGCTTCAGGCGGCATAACTCGCTCGATCCCCACTGAAATACGAAGGGGCGTTTATAGAGCGCATAGAGGAAACATCAATTGAAGGTTTCAAACTGATTTTTTCTCTTGTTTATTTGGTCTGACTAGTGACGAAGTAGAAGTGAAGCTATTAACTTTAACACTTATTTAACGACATTAAAACTTTAGATGTCATCTCAGGGCAAAAAAGCCAAATGAAAAAATACGGTTCCACTTCTTAATAACAATGTACAACCTTTTTTCATAAAATGTATTGACATAAATCAAGGATACTAACCCTGATTCACAATTATATTGTTGTTAGATTATTTCATATAACTACTAAATTAAAATCATACTCCGTACTACGTAGTAGTTAAAACTTAAAAGTTAAAACTATACTATCATGTCCCAAAAAACTAGAAGCCGGTAAGTTGAAAAGGTGCAGTCCAATATTTGGGAATTTCTAGGAATTGTAATTGGGACTGTAAAAAAAGGAATTGTAATTGGGAGTTTAATTTTGGTCATGTAAAAACGTAACAATTGTCCTCTGTCTTGTCCAAATTATTAAAATTAAAAACAGTTTGTAATACACGTGCGCTATTTGAGGCCATGCCACCACCACATATGTCCTTTGGTATATCTAATACATGTTCGCTATTTTCTTAATAAACTACCTTAAAAATTTACCGAAATTACTATAATTGACGCCCCTATGGAGTGTGAGGCAAGTGCCTGGGTGAACTCCCCCTATGGCCGGCTCTGCATTCATGTGTTTACAAGGCAGTCAGGCATAATATACACGAAGTACATGACAATGAGAAGACAAAAGGGGTGGGATATACCCATAGTGAAAATCGCGTCCATAATTGCATGGAATGACTATTGCTTCATAACAAAGAAGCGCAGACAGTTTGATGAGCCATTTTGCTTTATTTCATCATATTCTCGTTCACCTTTAACCAAAATTAGAATAACCGGCTATTACCTGTCTCCTCCTCAACTCTTTATGGAAAGCAAGACTAATGGAATGAATATTCGTAGGAATCATGCAAATCATATCATGTGAAATCTTTCCTTGTGGTGCGTATTACTCCCCCTCAAGCCGGAGTGTGTAGATATCGAACACCCAGCTAGGTACTGGAACTGTTCACTTCCAATTAAGAGCTTTGGTAAAGGCATCCGCAACCTGATGTTGAGTAGAAATGGATTGTGGTTGTATTTCACGGCTAACAACCCGTTCATGAACAAAATAACAGTCCATTTCGACGTGTTTGGTGCGTTCATGGTAGACGAAATGGGTTGCATTGTGATGAGCAACTTGATGCTCACAAAATAGAGGTGTGGGTGTAGAATGGAAAACCCCGAATTCACGAAGCAGCCATCGCAACCAAATGATCTCACTAACGGCGATGGCCATGGACAATATAGTCAGGGAAAGGGTAGCGATATGCGGCTCAATAGACAGGCATGCATAATATATACGAAGTACTATTTTGAGATTATAACGGCTCTTAAAGAAAGACAAACAAAAATGATGTCACTCCATTGAGTTTCAAATCCGTGACCTTCCATAAGGGAGAGTGAGTCGGCGACCAGCTGAGCTGGACCGTTTCCTCATAAGATATTAATCGAATGATGTCAAGATTACATGCCAGTGGACAATTTCCAGGAATCCGATTAGTCTAAAGTAAAGAAGACTCATAATTTC